TTTGTGATTGGCAGCTGTGTCCCCCCCACTTTAAAAAAATCCTGCTGATGAGGATTTTTGTTTTACCAGCTCAGATCTTATACCAGGGGTCGGCAACCTGTTCCCATCAAAGAGCCATTATTACCCGTTTCCCACAGTAAAGAAAACACTGGGAGCCACAGCGTTGTGGGCGGGGCCTACCCTCAGACAGCAGAGAGCTGCCCACAACAGGTGACAGCAGCCAGTACCGGTCGCTCGCATGGGCGTCGCATCCGTGGGGGATTCAACACCCACACTTTTCCTTCTGTTTTGCTCACCTCCACACCAGTCTGGTTTCTTTATGTCGCACTCACACTGTTTGCCTCATCTCCTTCTTCACCTCCACTTCTGACAGCCGATGTCGGGTTCAAGGAGAGCAGGAGATGGAGGGACGGAAGAGCTCGACTGAATTCATAATTTTACATCTTGACATTAGCTGTACAAAGTCTGAGTTTGATAAAGTGAAGAACAATAATTTGCAGAGGTTTATAACAGGCGCGGTGCCAGGTTTTCATTTTTGGGTGGGCCACGGTAATTTTGGATGGACCTTAATAAGCAGTGACTTAAGTGAAGCAGGCAGGTCGCGCTAGAAAATTTCGTTTAAAAAGACGTCATAAATTTTCCCCCCGTCATTTTTATTTCTAAAATATGAAGTAAAAACTCCCAGTTTAATTTTCATTCATTTGTCATTAATGTCTACACCCGTGCGTTAAGTGGACCATCTTCCAGTAAAAGCAAAGCTTCCAGCCCACCTCTCCAAATAGGTAAAATGTGCATCAGCCGCTAGTTAGGCGTGCCGCGCACCATCAGCGACGTCAGCCCAGACAAGAGCAGAGCAAATAGAGAAAGAATAGAGGATAATTCTGTCTGGATGTGGATGGAGATTACATTTTACAGCCTGATCATCATTTAAATACGTAAACCATCACCTGGCTTCTAGTCCACGCTATCAGCATTATTTTAATTGGTGTGTGTGTGTGTGTGTTTTCCACTTCAAACACTGGTCTAACCAACCACACCAGCGTGTCCAGTAACATATTAATGTTACACTTCATGTAGACTAGGAACGTTTCACCTGCCGTGGCCCGACCGCTTCTGCTCCACATAAACTTTGTGCGTAATCAAATGTCTCTACAGGTGCTTTCTGAGCTGAAGAGGCTTTTCTGCCTCAGACTGGATGCGTAATGCGTCTCCATATTAGAGACGGGAACAAGCGCTGTTCAGCCAAAGTTTCATCATTTCATAAAAAGAACATTTTTCCAAGTGACACATCCCTCAGAGAGACCGAGTTTCCAGAACGCTTCAGTGGGAGGAAATCTTATCGCACGCACCGCGGTTCTGTACTGCGCTGCGAACCCCTCAGATTTTCAGCCTACTGTCCACCGTGGGCGCGCCGAGCCGCACTGAACACAGTGTCCAGTATAAAGCTCTGATGTTCTGATGGGAATCAAGTTACCTCTGCGATGTGCGCAACGATTAAAATGTCAGCTCATCCATGCGCATCAGTGTGCGTCGGGGTAATTCTTTCAAAACAACCAGCATCCTTGAGTTTATCCGTCAATATGTGGCAAGGTGGAGAAACGAAGGCCCGGGCGGGATCCGATCCCCAGACTCACGGGTGAGAGTCATACGCTCTAACCAGTCAGCCAAAGGGACATCCCCTTGGCCAAGTAGCCAGGGCGCATTATCTATCGGGACACTGTGACAGGACTCTCACACTGCCACACCTGATTATGAAACTTTGGCTGAATAGCGCTTGTTCCTGTCTCCAATGTGGCGACGCATCCAGGAACCTGTCTGAGGAGAAGCCCAGAATCTGACATCCTCCAGCTCAGGAAGCGCATATGATTACGCACAAGCGTGACGCGTCAACCCGGTCTCACAGTAAGACCGGGTTGGAACTGTTCAGGTTTACGCAGACAATCTTTACATTTAGAATTGGCATACAGATGTAAAATTAATGCAGTAAAATATAAAGCTTTTCATTTAAATATCCATTCATTATTTTACAAGCCCAGAGAGCCGCATCAGATGGATGGAAGAGCCGCATGCGGCTACAGAGCCGCCGACCCCTGTGCTAGCCTACTTTATTGTCCCCAGCAATTTTTAAACCCCACTCAAGGGTATGGTTATTGTCCCCAGCAATTCTGAAAACAAACTGACGCCCTTCATCCTGACAAACACTCTGTGATGCCTTTTAACCAAAATTAATTATTATGTTGACGATGGTAAAGCGTTGGATTAATACTTCAATAAATTGTACAAATTAAAGAAGTTGAAATGTTATGGGTTTTGAAAATCAAAGTGAGACATCCCTGTTATAAACAATCTTTATTATATTGTCTGTGAAGAGTTGTGACAGTGTGAGCACTCTCACCTCAGACCTATCTTTGACATATTTTTCTCCATTCATGTAACTTGTTTACAACTGTGGAGGCAGAAAGAATAAATGTCTCACAAACACGCTGTGTGTGTGTGTGTGTGTGTGTGTGTGTGTGTGTGTGTGTGTGTGTGTGTGTGTGTGTGTGTGTGTGTGTGTGTGTTGGTTTCTCAGGGCAATTAGAGCTACATGACATACTTTCTGTAGGTAATTAGTTAGCTAACATCAGGTTTTCTCTTCAGAACAACTGGGCTAATTGTTCTGGTTCACTACGACACGGTGCCAGAGAAGGTTCACAGCCTGGTTGGGTGGTTCTGTTAGATCCGGTTAGAGATTTCATACATTAACCTACATTCTCAGTAAAGACTAATTCCCACTATGGGCAGAGATGCACAGGTTCTGGTTCTGAGAGCTGATTTCCACTTCCTGTACTCTTATTTACTGGTACTAAATATTGCCATTCTTTCTCATAGAGTTATAAACAATGAACTACATTATTCATAAACTAATTACCTTTATAATTATTACTCTGTCATTAAAATGTAAAAGTAAAAACTTCCCCATCTGCTAGCATGAAGTAGCAATGATGGGTTTAGGATTAGAGGTCAACCAATATTGGTTTTGCTATTGCTGATACCTGTCATGGTCTGCGTCAGCCCCCTTCCTTTATGTGCCTCCTGGTGTCCTCCATCCCTCTCTAGATTCCCTCTTGTGTCCCTTTGTTCCCCCAGCTCCCCTTGTGCTCTCTTAGCGCCCTCATGCGTCCTTGTCTGCATCCCTGTTATGTGTCTTATGTTGTAGCCCTTTGGCGCCCTCTTGTGTCCTTTTTCTGTGTCAGCTTCTGTGTGTCAGTTTGTGTGTCAGTCTAGTGTCTGATGTTATCTTTTACTGTTTCCTCCCAGGTCAGCTCCAGCCTCGTTGTCCCCAGCTCAGTGTGTGTGTATGTACCATGTCCTCCTCCAGCTAGTTTGTGTGAGTCCTTCCCTCTGTCTTTAGGAAATTGTTGTTTAGTTTTGTGTTAAGGTATTTGCCATCCTCTGTTTCTGTTTTCCCCATTGAGTTGATTAGTGTCAACTGCCTTCCCTCCAGCAGCTCACCCCACACACCTGCTTCCTGTTTCCCTGATTGTTCCTCCCAGTGTATTTAAGCCCTGTCTGTCTCTGTGTTCTGGTCGGTCCATTGTTGCTTGTCAGCGTTATTAGTCCTGTCAGTCTGCTCGTTCCTCTGGTGTTTTTTTTTTTGACTCCCTGGATTCTTGGATTTTGGCTCCCTCCCTGTTCTTGGATTTATTCTTTATTTTGGACACATCCTACAATAAAAGGATTTTCTTTATTTCAATTCCTGCCTCGTGTCATCCTGGGTTTTGCAATTTGGGTCCTACTCTCCTAAACGTGACAATACCGATGCCGGTCTTTCGGACCGATTTTCATGGCTGATATCTAGACACTTATTTTCATGCTAAAATGTCATTAATAACATTGATGCACAATTTATGAACCTGAATCAATTGAATTTAACCATCTTAATGCTCAGAGTAAAAATCAGACATCTAACTAAAGTTGATCAAAAAATCAATAAACTGGTGGATATGAAATATTCAAACCTGGTAAATAAATATAAATGTTAGCTGAAACTAGGTTTTAGAGCATATATTATGCAGATGAAGGTAAATATACATAAAATAAATTCTGCAGCAGCACCGGGCTGCCCAGGTATGTGCTTGACTTTAAATTGGCTTTACTAAGGAGGCCGATGCCGACATATTAAAAAAAAAGGTAAATATCGGCTGACAGATATATCGGCAGCCTCCACTAGAATAAGATCTGAGGATGTTGTGTTTCGTAGTGGCTGAATATCGGCCGATCACCAGCCGGTTTTTGGAGCATCTGTGGTCATAAACATGATCTCATCACAGCTACATGCACAAACACCTCCTATCAGCAGACTGAAAGTCCCACTCATGTGTGGAACACGAAGCTTAAGAGGAAAGAACATTGTAAAGCATGTTGTTTGCTGCTAAAATCTTAAGCTGAATACTTGAGGATAAATAATGGAAAATATTTCCCATAATCTTTCAAATCCATCTCTCCAAAACAACAAATAGTTCCATTGTGTCCGCATCAGCACCAACACGCAGAAGCAACACGTCCCGTTCTGGTCCAGTCACCACTTTTCTCTCTCCTGTGGACACTTCTACGGTACCTGGTTGCATCACACACTAAAAATACAGCTCCTTTCACTCTATTCTACTACAAAGTGCTGAAGGTTCGGCATCAAATGGCGTTGGGAATTGAAAAAATAAAACGCAACAGTGCTTGGGAGAACACAAACACACTATCTTGTGTGAAAAGGGAGTGGGCGTTGAACCAGCATGACTAACACATGCACAGATGTGTTCATGAACGCATCAAAATCCCACAGAGTGATGTTTCATCGCAACCAGCAGAAAACATGTCAAGAGACGGAAAATGTTCACCACAACCAAACTCTTACATGTTGAATTAATGAGATGTGTGTGTGTGTGTGTGTGTGCGTGCGTGCGTGCGTGTGTGTGTGTGTGTGTGCGCGCGCGCGTGTGTGTGTGTGTGTGTGCCTTGCTTACGATGATGGGAGCAGTGCTAAAGCGAATCTTCCTCTTTGGCGGGATGTCCTCCCTGCTTTCCACTGGCAGGCCAGGGATCTCCGTCAGATCCGAGCCCGGATCGTAAACGATGTCCTCGTCATCACCGTAGAGGTCATCCTCAGGATCGGTGCAGCTTTCGCCCCAGCCCTGGTAACAGGCGTCCCCGTCGGCGTTAAAAATCACCCGCTCATTTCCAGTGTACTCCTCCTCGGGTTCTTCTCTCTGGTCCTCGGTTGATGCAGAGAGCTTTTCCTGCTTTGGGGTGTCTGTGTCATCTTTTCTGTCCCCGGCTTGAGGGGCTGTTGAGGACATCTCATGATTGGCATCTTCAATAGCTTTGCTGGGTATGACAGCACTATGCACCCGTTTGGAGGTTCTGGTGACTCCTTGATCCTCTGTATGATTCAGATGGTCTGAAGGTTTCTCCTCTTCCTCACAGGAACCATTAACCTGGCTTTCATTAGTGGTGACCCCAGACAAAGTCTGTCTCGGAGCCTCGTCGTCTTGGGCTTTCACGTCTTCTGGAGCATCTTTTGGAGGTTCTGAAGTTTCTGTTCTGGGACTAGGACTCAAGACGTCCTCAGAGGACGAAGATACCGGGAACTTGCCCCCTATCTTGTTTTGGTAGTTTCCACGAATTGGCGATTGTCTTGACTCGTCCTCACTGACATCTCCTCCCTGGCGGTAAGACCCATCTGGAGAGTAGAGGGCTCGTCTGCTGACTCCTCGGTAGGGAACGCTCTGATTGTGGTGGTCAGCATTTTCAAAAACCGCACTGAGCTGACTGACAGTTGGCGAGGACGCGTCCGTTCTGGAGCACAGGGAGTCCAGAGAGTCGGTGCTGCCTCTGTTGGACCTCGCCCCTCTCCAGTCATCCAAGTGTTCGTGAGAGCCCCGTTTATCACGTCCATAAGGAAAGACGGGAGACTGGGACTGGTCACGTGACTGCTGTTCAAACAGCTTCCTGGTCTCTGAGAACTTGGCCCTGGCACCTCCGACCCTCTCGGCTGATGAAGAGTGTTGGAGCTTAATGACTGAGCCATCAGCCTTGTTGATGAAGTTGGTTGGCTTCACCAGCTTCTGTGGTGAGGGCTCGTCGCTACTCTTAGCCTTGGCTGCTGCGTTGTCCGAGCCCATCTGCATGAACATGTCCTTAATGCGGCTGACATGGGCCCCGTACTGGCGTCCCCTTGGTTGTTTACCCCGCTCCAGGTCTTTGGGCTTTGAGTCTCCATCAGTCCGAGGCTGGTCAAAGGCCCTCTTGATGGCCTGAAACTCAGCCCGGTAGGCATTACGATGGGGGGAGGCACTCCGGAAGCTAGTTCTCTCCCCCGAAGCCTCCGTCTTCAGCATGATGATGTCTTTGGGTCTAGGCAGAATGTCGGCATCGCTGTGACCTGGTTAGAACGTGGGACTCAGAAGTCTACTCGTCTCTCAGACCCAGTCGCACCTGCACAGATGAAAACAAGCGTGAGTTTTACTCCGGTTGCTGTTTATTCAACTTTCCTCCAATTTGTGAAGGCAGCATTTTAAATAGGGGAATTTGTGTTAACACTAAATCTTCCAAGGGAATGTTTGCTTCCAAAGCCATGGCTAGCCAGACTTGGATTAAAGTGGTGTGCAGCTTTGGGACAAATGTGAATATGCTCAATTTGGAAGTCATAGCTTTACAAAAACCACCAATCGATATGGTCCCTATAGCACAGGAGGAAAAGCGACCCTTTTAAAAACAAAAGGACAGTAAAAATTATTGAATAGAGGCCATTTATTTATGTCTAATATTCATAAACCAATACAGATTATGATATAAATATATAATAGATGTGAACTTTTGTGTTCAAAATAATTGAAAGTATGTGTGTCTTTGGTGTGATGTTATGCTTGCCTTCTATTGTTTTAAAAAAATAAAGCAGATGTTGTGGTGTCTTCTACTAAATGCAGCCTGTATGCAGACTCTGCCACACATAACGATTAATGGGGCGGAATAAACGCGTATCTTTATGTATCCAATACAATACAGCTGATCAGGCTGGGGCTGGTAATCAAATATTCCACATTTACTCCTATTAATATTTAATCTGCAGTGGAAATACCACACACACACACACACACACACACACACACACACACACACACACGCGACACATGATAAAGGAAAACAACAATAACAACAGCATCATCTGGGACTTGGAGGATCAATTAACTTAGCTGATCTTTAACCTGAGCTGCCTACGGATCCATTATTCTCCTCCTGAGGAAACCCTCTGTGCAGCAGACCATTCCTTTAGTTTTACCTTCAGGACTTCAGTTTTGTTGGAAACGAGAAAATAAAAGTAAGAGGAGAGAGCTGAGTCAGATCAATGAGACAAACAAGCGCACACCAGCCGCACCGACACCTCGGGTTCCCCTCCTCTCTCTCGCTCTCTCATTTGTTTACATCCTTCCTTTCTGCAGATAAATAAACATCTGCTGATGCTTTCGGATAAATAACAACCTAAATGTTAGACCTCCGCGATCTGCTTTAAAAAACAAAAGACTTACGTGCATATCTGAGGCTTCGCGCGTCAGTGGGAATAAAACCGCACCAGAGGGTGAGCTGGGTGAAATCTAAGGATGATGTCGGTAAAAAAACAAACATCCAAAACAACATCCCTGAGCTGTATGCTGCTTGTAAATAGTCCCGGACGGACCCGCTCAGCAGAGCCGCTCCAACGCCATTGCAGGCAGCGGGTGATGCTGCCAGCCGTACAAAGGGGGTGTCGGAGCGGTCCGGCCCCTCATCCCTGAGACAGCTGCTTTCTGGCGGCCGATATACGTCCGCCCAGACGTAAAGTAGACTCACTCGCTGCGGCGGTTAGCGCTGGTTTGCGCAAATGAGAGCATCATGTGACAGGTGCTAAACCCCGAAATGCGGCAATGGTTCGGTCCAATAATCTGCTGCGCGGAGGGGGCTCGAGAGCTGCAGTCTGGCATAAATACCAACACAGCTAGCGACCGGAAATCCTGTTTCACACAGGGCTGTAGGGGGTGATTGGGGGGTCGAGGACCACCCCAAGGGCCTCCAAAGAGCTGGAGCGAGGGCCAGAGGGCGGTCATGGGGGAGACAGGTGTTGCGTCAGAACTTTACATCACTGCAGGTGTTTGACTACCCCACTTCCTGTTTGTCCTAAAACACCCTATTAAAATACATCACAATTAATAAAAGTTTAAACGTCTATTTTAAATAGTAACGTAACACAGACTATTTCAAATATAAACAATTTAGGTTAGTTTATCATGAAAATTCAAAATGCCTTATAGAGGAAAGATATTACCAAAATAAAAGCAGGCTATAACATCTCTGGTTCAGTGTAATCATTAATTATTAATCAATATGCAGGAGAACCCAGACAGGAACATAAATGTTCACTGGTTAACCAAACTCACATTAACCATTAGAACCACTTGGAGACGTTTCTAAGGTCAGCTTTAATTTTATTGTCTATTCCTGCAATAAATCTGATTTTCACTCAAAATGTCATAGTAGCATTTTATACATTTATAACAAATAAATAATATAATATACGTGTTTATAGGATATATTTTGGATTTAATCTTTCTGAATTTAAACTAAATTAGAAGAATTAGAACATCATGCAAAAGTTCATTTATTTGGGGAACTCAACTTAAACGGTGAAAACGCAATACATGCTTTTTATTGGCTTATGCTGCAGTTTTTCCATGATGAGAGTCTTCAACATCTGAAGCTTAAAAACAGATTATTACTGTTGTCTGAGTTGTGATTAATAAAACCATTTTAATGTTCTGAGACAGACGTGCATGAGACTCTTACTGTGAAAATTAAAGGACATTCTGAGCCCCGCGCTGGATGCTGATTTAACCAGTTAGCACCTCCATAAGGCCTCAGTATTTGTTTCATCATGACTTTGCCGGGAAATAAAATACTGACCTTGTTTGTGTCACTTGGACTTTAATCTCAACACAGCCTCCTTATTCAAAAGACATTAATGCTCCTTGGTAACTAACAAAGGTGTGACCAAGTCACTGCTTTGTAAATAGCAAGTAAGTCACAAGTCTTTCCAGTCAAGTCTCGAGTCAAATCCAAGTCAAAGACAACTAAGTCCAAGTCGAGTCCAAAGTCAATGATGTCGAAGTCCAAGTCAATTCTAAGTCCCTAACTTAGAATTTTCAAGTCATAATCAAGTCGTGTGTCAAACTGTCAAACATAACTTCAATTTAATGATGATGATAATAAATAAATTCCAGAATTAAAGCTTCTTAAAGCTTCATTTATCATCTCAAACAAGCAGAAACTGAAACTGGTTCTAAATAAAGTGCTGCTGCAGTTAGCAGTAAATCAAACCCAGAACCAAGAATGATTCATGATTTTTGTCCATGTCGTGCCACTTTTGTGCTAAAATATCAAACATGTTCAAGTCATCATCAAGTCAACAGATGCAAGTCGATTCAAGTCGCAAGTCATTGGCGTTCAAGTCCGAGGCAAGTTGTAAGTCTTTATAGATTTCATCAAGTCAAGTCAGAAGTTATTAAAATAATGACTGGAGTCAGACTCGAGTCCAAGTCATGTGACTCGAGTCTACCCCTCTGGTAAGCAGCAATAAACACTGTTGCACCTCTGAATAATCAACAGGTGGTTGTTGTGTTTGCGCTGTTCTTAAGGAGATGAGGAGGATGAGTAGCCTGACCTGCCAGACTCGTCCTCTGTTAAATTCTGCACAGAGAAAGAGTCTGGTAACTCACAGGCAGAGAGGCACATGAGGGGCGGGACTAGGCAGCTGAAAAAATAACCAATCAGAGAAAAGACGGAAATGCCGGCTGTACCGCGCGACGCTGTAGTTCTTTAGCTGTAGTAAAAACTTTGGCGACAGCACAAAAATCTTTCTTTAGAAGAAAGGCTTTTAGCGCTTCTACTTGTTGTTTTAAACACGTGTCCAAGTCATTTAGAACAGAGGAAAGAGCCGCAGTGAACGCCGCTTCAATCGCCATGTTTTGGACAAAATCAGCGTTGTGGTGTGTGACGTACGCTACTCAGTGCTGATTGGCTCAGTTAGAATTCTCAGGGGGTGGGGCTATTTGAATAGGAGAGTTCCCAGACCCTTTCTCTGTGCAGAAGTAAACAGAGGAGGAGTCTGGCAGGCCAGGCTAGAGGATGAGAGGGTTCGTCTTGGTTGGCCCACACATAAACGTTTACAGATGTCCAGAACAAATGACTGAATTCATGTGATGAACTAAAGATTAAAACAAGAAAGAAACTTTGTTAAACCCTTGAATGCAATAATCTTAAGCAAAAACCTCTAATAACTGACATCTTGCTGTTTTTGGGTTATATATACATTTTAAAAGGTTGGATTTTTCTATATGTTAAATGTGTTTCTGGGTAAAAGTTGTACTATGTATGTCAGTCAGGACTGATAAGCTAATGGTTAGTCAGAGTGCAGCTGAAATCTAAATGTGGCGCTGCTGACCTTCAACTGCTCTAGTCACCAACGGCATCGTCACTCATTCATTCATTTGTTTGTTTTTTATTTCATTCATTCATTCATTTGTTAATCACTTTTTCCTTAGTATGGTCATGGGGAGCTTGTACAGGTGCTGGCCAGTAAATTAGAATATCATCAAAAGGTTGAAAATATTTCAGTAATTCCATTCAAAACGTGAAACTTGTACATTATATTCATGCAATGCACACAGACCAATGTATTTCCAATGTTCATTACATTTAAATTTGATATTCATAAGTGACAACTAATGAAAACTCCAAATTTGGTATCTCAAAAAATTAGAATATTCTGAAAAGGCTGAATATAGAAGACACCTGCTGCCACTCTAATCAGCTGATTTACTCAAAACACCTGCAAAGGCCTTTAAAAGGTCCCTCAGTCTTGTTTTGAAGGCACCACAATCATGGGGAAGACTTCTGACTTAACAGCTGTCCAAAAGACAATCATTGACACCTTGCACAAGGAGGGCAAGACACAAAAGGTGATTGCTAAAGAAGCTGGCTGTTCGCAGAGCTCTGTGTCCAAGCACATTAACAGACAGGCGAAGGGACGGAAAAAATGTGGTAGAAAAAAGTGTACAAGCTCTAGGGATAACCGCACCCTGCAGAGAATTGTGACGACAAACCCATTCAAAAATGTGGGGGAGATCCACAAAGAGTGGACTGCAGCTGGAGTCAGCGCTTCAAGAACCACCACGAGGAGACTCATGAAAGACATGGGATTCAGGTGTCGCATTCCGTGTGTCAAGCCACTCTTGAACAAGAAACAGCGCAAGAAGCGTCTCGCCTGGGCCAAGGACAAAAAGGACTGGACTGATGCTGAGTGGTCCAAAGTTATGTTTTCTGATGAAAGCAAGTTCTGCATTTCCTTTGGAAATCAAGGACCCAGAGTCTGGAGGAAGAGCGGAGAAGCACAGAATCCACGTTGCATGAGGTCCAGTGTAAAGTTTCCACCGTCAGTGATGGTGTGGGGTGCCATGTCATCTGCCGGTGTTGGCCCACTCTGTTTCCTGAGGTCCAGGGTCAATGCAGCCGTCTACCAGGAAGTTTTAGAGCACTTCATGCTTCCTGCTGCTGACCAACTTTATGGGGATGCAGACTTCACCTTTCAACAGGACTTGGCACCTGCACACAGTGCCAAAACCACCAGCACCTGGTTCAAGGACCATGGTATCCCTGTCCTTGATTGGCCAGCAAACTCGCCTGACCTTAACCCCATAGAAAATCTATGGGGTATTGTGAAGCGGAGGATGCAATACGCTAGACCCAACAATGCAGAGGAGCTGAAGACGACTATCAGAGCAACCTGGGCTCTCATAACACCTGAGCAGTGCCACAGACTGATCGAGTCCATGCCACGCCGCATTACTGCAGTTATTGAGGCAAAAGGAGCCCCGACTAAGTATTGAGTGCTATACATGCACATTCTTTTCATGTTCATTCTTTTCAGTTGGCCAACATTAGAGAAACAAACATTTTTTCATTGGCCTTTAGAATATTCTAATTTTCTGAGATACCAGATTTGATGTTTTCATTGGTTGTCACCTATAAATATCAAAATTAAACGTAATAAACATCGGAAATACATTGGTCTGTGTGCATTGCATGAATATAATGTACAAGTTTCACGTTTTGAATGGAATTACTGAAATATTTTCAACCTTTTGATGATATTCTAATTTACTGGCCAGCACCTGTATATGTTCAGCAGTAACCAGGTGAGTTGTGGGAAACACCCTGGACACATATTCAGTCTAGCTGTTAGCTTATCAGTCCCAAATGAAGTAAACTAGTTTCTCTGAACTGAAGTTTTTAAAAGTCCATTGACAATAAAATCTTTATCATTTTCAAATGCACTTCAAATTTTCACATAATCGTTTGGTCTAAAACATTTTAAGATGTTTACTAAAATCAGCTGATCTAAAACAAACGGTCTCTCTTGCTTGTCAAACTTCACTATTAAGGGTTGGGGATTATGATCTTTTTTTATCTGTAAACAGGAAAAAAAATCAGCATTTATGAGACTAGACGAAAATGTCTAGACTGTAAATGAAAAGCAAACATTCTCGATTGATGCTGGGCCAAATGAATGTAGAGCTTCATGTGTCATCCTGCCTCCAAACCATCCTTACATGCATACCCTTCCAAACCAAACACAGGCTATGTAAGATGTTGCTAAGCAACCTAAAAATAATCTTAAGGGGATAGAGGTGGAAAAAAAAGTCATGCACTGCAGAGCACACAAGATGGCATCTCCATTATCGCTGCAGGGGATGAAAACAAATCTGTTATAAAATCATAAAAACAAGGGAATGGTTTAACTAACAGCAACGTTACCAGTACCTGGGTAAAAAGGGTCATATGGAGTAAATTAATGGTCCCAACGTTCTTTAGAGAGCACGATGTGGGTCCTGAACATGTCCACCTGTCTTCTAAGGAGGAGGATTGGACTGACTGGAGCAGACTTTTCAAAAAAGCCTCTGCCCTCTGACAGCTGTGCACCGGAGGTCACACTTTACGTGCAGAAACCAGAGATGTTAAAGCTAACAAACAAACAAACAAACAAACTGAGTCAGGATAAAAAATCTCTCCCTGCTTCATCACCAGACATTATGGAGGGCGGGGTGCTTCTTTTTCCTATTCTTAACGCATCTTGTTCCTCTTTTTAACAAGACGACTAGATGTTTCCATCCAGATGTTCAGCCAATCAGGAGCCGATCCCAGTGAGGGAAGAGGAGGCGGAGGAAGGAATGCTGTAGGATGCTGGTTATTATGGCTGTCAGTGACGACTAGAGGAAAACACACACTCACACACACACACACACACACCGCTTCTCATGCAAGATTTACGTGGATGATTCGCACCATGTCCGCTGCAGCCGTCGCGGTATGGCTCGCAACGGGTAGGTATCGATTTAACTCGAGAATCACTCATCCTCACGCGCCTGTCAGTGACGTTGCTAGCTAGCTGCGAGGCTAAGTGCTAGGCTAACTGCTGAGACAGAGAAAAATGGCTACCAGCTGTCAGCTGGACCGTTATGGTCTCGGAGCCACGCATAAATGATGTTTTATTACAGTAGATAAAGGTTAAATCGGGGTTTCATTCTTGGTATTTAAGGATGTTCGCAGTATTATAAATAGATGTTAAGTGTGAATTTAAATTGCGCAGCAAAACTGTTCTTTTTGCCCAGTTTATCCTTCATGGCACATTTTAAACTCTCACGAAGAGACAGTCACAATTTATGTAAAACTAGATTAGACTCAACTACACAGGTAACGCCCCGTTTTTAATTTAATTTTTTTTTGTTTTTTACCTGAAATCTGATGATTGTCCAATGCATGGGCCGCGGGCCGTTTGGGGCCATCACAAGTGATTTAGTGCGGCCCTGGTAAAATGGTGCGTTCCAGTTTTCCTCAGAACTTGTTTTTGTGAGATAAGTTTGCCGGAAATAATGCAATGAACTCGGAAATCCGAGCTGCGAGCTGCTAGCTCTAGGTTTCAGAGGACCCCAAGATCCCAAATTTAAAGATGGCTGCGCCCGGAGCTACCAGGAAGTAGTTATCCTCTTTATTTTTTCTCATTCATATGTTCTGTTTTCTTTCTTATTGCTATGTAACAGCACCAGTAAGTTGTTTATTGTTATTGTCAGTAGTTACGTTGTTGAAAAATCTAACGTTGCCGTCAAAATTAACCATTGTTTTTGGTGTATACTTTTCCTGTAAAAATTTTACATTTGATTTGTAATGTTTTTTTGATTGTATGTGACATCTGTCGAAGGGCGTGTATGTCGCAATTTTTTTTAGATGCGGTGGCATCCATTATTTTCGAGTTGGAAGCTGGAACCCAAAATGAATCATTTTCTGCTCGGAAATTCCGAGTTCCGAGAACAACTGGAACGCACGATTAGCTTGGCTTAGCGTGACTTAGCTTAGCTTAGTGTATCTTTGCTTAACAATGGTGAGTTTTCTCGCTGAGTGTCACAAACAAAAAGGAAAAAAACATTGATTCTTGAATTTCTAAGTGGCACATCTTGGATTATTGTGATTATGCTGCATATTAATTAGCAGACGCTGATTGCTAGCTGATGCTTTGGTGCAACTCTATTAAACACATTTTCTACAACATGATTCAAAGTAAGACTATTGGTGCACCAGGATGCAGCCTTTTGCAACATCTTCTTAAAGAAAAGTGATAAAAACTTTTTTAAGAGACAATTAACAGGTGTCCACATAGGAAATGCTTCTTGGTGTATTGAGCCACAGACTATTAGCAATCTGGCTAAAATGATTATTTCTTCTCTAAACAAGCTGAAGTATGTGAAAAATCCAGATTAGCATTTTCCTTGTCTACTTTAAACACGGCTTTGGGTCAGTTATTAGAAAGGCTCCTTTGTTTCATGCATGCTTCTATTCATTGGTCCACTAGTTTACACTGTGCATGCCTATGGAAAAGTGCAAATGGAGCCATCCGTGGCCTTGCTGCAGAGAGGAAGAGCCCAGCATGGAGACGGTGAGTGGGTTTCATGGCGACCTGTCCGCTTCCCCTTCCTGTCCTAACAGAGACCCACTCACCTGGTTCCATTAATACTAGAGGTGCTGTTTGTTGACTGCACCCCGTTCTGTCCCCATAACAACAGTTCCTTCACCTTAAATCCTGCTCTTGTTAGATCATCCTAACTGTGTGAGGAATATCTAATAGAACAAAACCTTCTATTGATTATTTTAGATTTACCGTTCACAGAGTTCTGGAGGACTGAGCCAGTGGTTTCGGGTCCAGCGTCGTCCTTACCCGCTGTCTTCTGCATTTTGCACCAACAGCTACTTTCACTTCCATGTCTGAGTTCAGAGAAACACGCTCAACGTTACCCCGGGCAGAAAAACAGAGCCTCAAACAGTAGAGATCCTTGTCCGTCGTTCCCCTCCAAGTGTCAGCAGAAGCACATGCATTCCTCCTGACCCGGAAGACGAGCGTGTGCGTGTGTGTGTGTGTGTGTGCGCGCGCCTTTTTTGCCTCTGTTTTTCTCAGAAGCATCATTTCAGCTGGTCCAAGGTCAGCTGAGGAATAAATTAGGTCCAGTTATCCATTTGCACCAGTCCTACTCTCCCTTGTTTGAGATTTGGTGTATGTTAGAAGTGTAATCCAGCACGGTGTGTGTGTGTGTGTGTGTGTGTGTGTGTGTGTGTGTGTGTGTGTGTGTGTGTGTGTGTGTGTGTGTGTGTGTGTGTGTGTGAGACTCAGAGGTGAAGGCAGCGCGGGTTAGTCCGTTTAGCATTAACCTGTAATCGGTGATGTATTGTACGGCGAGAGCTCTGAGCTTCATCATCTAGCGAACGCCCCACAGAGCCATCCAGCCAAGCTTAAGGAGATCTGCTGCTAGTAGCAGATCATGTGTGTGTCTAAGTGACTGATCTTCACCTACAGCGGCTCAGCGGAGGCCTGGTCACATAGGTGGAGGTAGAACCGATCATTCTTTACCCGTCTCAGAGGCCTGCCCCACACCCGTCTGGCCTCTGAATGGAACTGAGCAGCTAGGGTTTAACCTTGGAGAGTGTGAAAGTGCTCCTTCGAGGTCAGAGAACCAAACCCCACATGTGCGTATTCAGGGTCCTCGCTCAGAGCTAAATGAGCGCCCGAGGCTAACCTAGATCCCAACGTGGGCGCAGCAAGTTGCAGCCAGATTGTGGGGATTAGTCACGCCCAGGTGACTCGAAGGAGACGTGGTGGATCTAACCTCCGGTTGTCAAAGCGACGCCACACGGAGTGGCTGCTAACTGCTGTTGATTGTATCTCAGTGTGACGGGGCCCTTGGGGATGTCAGACCAATGGCTGCATCAGCACCTCTGCTGCTGGACGCCGAGATTTTTGTTTTCAATTCACAGATTTTATTAGTTGATGTTGATCAGAATTGGTGGCGTCAGCTGATTATATTTAACTCTCTCCTGTAGTTTTAATAATGGATAACAAATCAGACTTTTCTTTTCCTCTGCACTTATTGAGATGTAAATCTGACTGGATTCTCTTTCGGGACCTCAGCAGGGACGTCCTTTGTGCGGGATGCTAATGAAACGGCTGGTCAGACGCTATCGAGAGGATTAAAAGAGGAGGTGAAACAATGCAGCAGGGGTGTGTGTGGGACTGAACCCACACACACCCCTGCTGCCTGTGTCTGCAGGCAACAGCAGATCAAACTAGCTCCCTGTCCCCTCCACCGCCACTTCCTCCCACCCTTCTTCCTCTCCACGGTCATTAAAAACGAGTTCCCAGCCACCTTTGGAGGGTGAGAGGGTGAAATGGTTAAAAACTGTTGCAGAAAAAGCTGAAAGGTCACAAGTCAAGAGATTATGGAGGAGAAACGGGCCCCTGGCCTTTTCTGGTCCTGTGGAAGGACTCGGTAGAGATTCCTGTACTAATAAAGACTAAGTGTGTGTGTCGGGGGGGTCAGCGCAGTGTGAAGGGCTTCTTCGGTCACATCCTTTTCCTACAGACACACTGGGAACTATGGGGAACTAAGCTGGCTCTCTCACGTGTGTTTTAGCGGTCATCATCTTGTCGAGGTCACACTCCGACCGTAACGTCTACGCCTCTGCGGGAGTCCTCTTTGTCCATGTCCTGGTGAGGGAGCACTTCAAAGAAGAGTTTCCTCCTTACCCCAAGTCAGGTACAACACCGTCACCCGTTCTACAACCACATTCTCATCACCCTGGAGACGCGTGGGCTGCTTTTGCTGCTGGAGCGTCATCCACCTGTAACTGAGAACTGCTGCTGAAACCTCTGCAGGCGACACCAGCGACGACCCCATCACCTTCAACACCAACCTGAAGGGCTACCCCGACCGGCCGGGCTGGCTGCGCTACATCCAGAGGACCCCCCACAGTGACGGGGTGCTGTACGGCTCCCCCACGGCGGAGCATGTTGGGAAGGCCATGGTCATAGAGGTAAGCCGCCGGCTCGTTTTCCAGACCTGTTTGTGCTGAAGAGGATTCTCTTCAGCTCAGCTGACTCTAGTAGCTCCATGCTTCATTTGCTGTTTCACGTGGAGGAGGTGGTACCGTCTGCTCGCTCAGCTACTGGAATCCCTTTCCCCAAAGCTCATGTGACTGATCCGGGTCCATGTGATCTGGGGTTAAACCTTCACTCCTGTGTTGCAGATAACCGCTTATAACAGACGCACGTTTGAGACGGCGCGCCACAACTTGGTCATAAACATCAAGGCTACAGAAGGTAAGAGCCACCAGCATCAGAAGGTGGGTAAGTCCAGGGTGAGCATGGGCTACGGGGCAAAATAATGCCAGCTGTACACACACACGCACACACACACACAGGGAGAGAGCCCAGTGTGTCTTTATATTCCTGCAATTACACGCCACGTCTGTGCCTCTGGCCTGATGAGCGGTCATGGTTCATGCATCATAATGTGAATGGGGGAGGGGCCTCAGCAGCAGCCGCTCACAGCACTAGCGTGACATCACTCTGTGATGTCATCTACCATCTGGCACGCCTCTCGCAGCTCATCTCCCTCCCTCTCTGTTTTTCAGAGTTCCCTCTGCCCTATCAAGCGGAGTTCTACATCAAGAACATGAATGTGGAGGAGATGCTGGCCAGCGAGGTGCTGGGAGACTTCTTCGGGGCCGTGAAGAACGTTTGGCAGCCTGAAAAGCTGAACACCGTGAACATCACCTCGGCGCTGGACCGTGGTGGCCGCGTCCCCCTGCCCATCAACAATCTGAAAGAAGGGTGAGGATGTGGACACGCCTCACATTCCTTCCTGTCCATTTGGACAATGGCCCACATGACCTGCTACAGCTGCAGCAGATGAAAGCTCAGTGGAGCCTGAAGATGCAAAACCCGGCCCTGACCCATTCCTCCTTCATCCTCTTCTCTCCTCCATAGTGTGTATGTGATGATCGGTGCCGACGTTCCCTTCTCATCCTGCCTACGGGAGGTGGAGAACCCTCACAACCAGCTGCGCTGCAGTCAGGAGATGGAGCCCGTCATCAGCTGTGACAAGAAATTCAGAGCTCAGTTTCACGTGGACTGGTGTAAGATTACCCTGGTGAGGAAGCTGTCGGACAGTCACTGGAATGCCAGGAATGTTGTAAATCTGGGGCATTTTGTTTTATCGTCTACTTGTGGATGTGGAGCTGGTTCTGATCCGATAGACAGAGAGACCCACAACAGTCCCTGAAGAAATCATTTACCCAGCTGAAGCAGTGGGGTCTCAGGGAGCTGGTGGGGACACCCTAGGGGGGACACCCTGTTGAGGGACACCCTGGTAAGGGACACCCTAGTGAGGGACACCCTGTTGAGGGACACCCTAGAAAGGGACATCCTGGTGAGGGACATCCTGGTTAGGGACACCCTGGTGAGGGACACCCTGGTTAGGGACACCCTGGTGAGGGACACTCTAGCGGGTGACACCCTGGTGAGGGACACTCTAGCAGGTGACACCCTGGTGAGGGACACTAGCGGGTGACACTCTGGTGAGGGACACTAGCGGGTGACACCCTGGTGAGGGACACTCTAGCAGGTGACACCCTGGTGAGGGACACTAGCGGGTGACACCCTGGTGAGGGACACTAGCGGGTGACACCCTGGTGAGGGACACCCTGGTGAGGGACACTCTAGCAGGTGACACCCTGGTGAGGGACACTAGCGGGTGACACCCTGGTGAGGGACACTCTAGCGAGTGACACCCTGGTGAGGGACACTAGCGGGTGACACCCTGGTGAGGGACACCCTAGTGACGGACACCCTGGTGAGGGACACCCCGGTGAGGGACACTCTAGCGGGTGACACCCTGGTGAGGGACACTAGCGGGTGACACCCTGGTGAGGGACACTAGCGGGTGACACCCTGGTGAGGGACACTAGCGGGTGACACCCTGGTGAGGGACACCCTAGTGACGGACACCCTGGTGAGGGACACCCTGGTGAGGGACACTCTAGCGGGTGACACCCTGGTGAGGGACACCCCGGTGAGGGACACTCTAGCGGGTGACACCCTGGTGAGGGACACCCTGGTGAGGGACACTCTAGCGGGTGACACCCTGGTGAGGGACACTCTAGCGGGTGACACCCTGGTGAGGGACACTCTAGCGGGTGACACCCTGGTGAGGGACAGCCTGGGCTTTTAAATAATTGTGTTCAACCACATTTTAAGTCAGGAGTTCTTTCTGGGACCTTTGTGGGTTTTCCTCTCACCCACGTCCACTCACACCTGTCTTCTCTCTCAGGTGGACATCAACAAAGTAGTCCCTGTGTACATTAGCCGTCCCGACCCGGGTGCTGGGATCCTGCCTGATTTTGGAGAGTACAACCCCCCCCCAGAGTCTCTGACCAGCAGGGACTACTTTTACGACTTCCTGGTGACGCTGGCCGTTCCCTCGGCCGTGGCGCTGGTCCTCTTCCTCATCCTCGGCTACACCATGTGCTGCAGACGGGAAGGGGTGTAAGTGTTTCTGATCTTGCTTTTCTAAGATACTTCTGCACCCGACACCCAGATTAACCAGAGAGAGAGAGAGTAAATTAGGATTAGGAGGAAGCATAAGAGACCCAGTGTATCAGTAAGGTGCAGCTCGACATCACCATCTGGTAGTGTTCCATTTCTGTCACCCCCCTCATCCGTACATGTCCCTTTTTTTTATGTCGAAGTTTCGTACCACGACTCCGAAGATCATCCACCCATCAGCGTTGTACATGGTTTAAAGGCTGGGAGAGGAGCACCCCCCAGCGTTCCGCTCCATCTCCATCCTTATGCAACAGTCCTTGTGTGTGTGTGTTGCTTTAACTATTAATATTAGTTTTTAATTCACTCATTTTGTTTTGCTTCTAGGGGAAAAAGAAACATGCAAACACCAGCGTAAGTGTTTTACCTATCCTGTGTTCTTTTGGTTTGAGCTCTGTTTCTGTCCCCCCCCCCAACACTTTGGTTTGTCACTGATTGTTGCTTCATATCCATTCATACGCTCATGTGTGTTCATTCATTCATTGGGCTGCTGATAGCATTAACGACCAGCTGGAGGGAGCTAAATAACCGGGAGGCTAACCTCCTGCAGCCTAAAGATGAACGGCAGCGCCAGACTAGGGCACGTGTTATATTTACCTGCTGCACGCTCGGATCTCCTCATGGTGGCTTTACTAAAACACGCCTCACTCTTCCGTCCTGCAGAATCCAGCTGGTTCATCACAGCTCCATCCAGAAGTCCAGCAAAGAGCTTAGGAGCATGTCCAAGAACCGTGAGATCTCCTGGCCCCTCTCCACCCTGCCCGTCTTCAACCCAGTCAGCGGGGAGGTGGTGCCGCCCATCCACCCCGACAACTACGAGACCACCAGCATGCCTCTGATGCAGACACAGGCGTGAGTCGGAGCCGAAGTTGCATGTGATGACTGTTGTGACCTGTGACCCCTGCAGGAAATATTTACCGGCTCCAACGGTTGCAGCCTGGTGAAAAGCTGACCCAGAAACTTCCTGTACTGCTGTCATCTGAAAGTATTCCATCTTGTGTGTTCATGGTTTCAGGAATCTGCAAAACCAGATTACAATCCCACAGCAGAGGCCTTCAGGTTAGTTTGATTACATGCCTGGACGTGACCCATCTCTCACACACACACACACGCTGCTGCATGTCTGATATTCTCGTGCTTAAAGTTTTTTTTTAAATCTGCCGTCTGCGAGTACACCTACGTTCACCAGCCTTCTCGCACTTACTGCCTTAAACGATAACTTATTAACTCACGAGTCTTTATTAAAGACTGCGTGGGACAGAAAAGCCACTGAAGCTCATCCAGCCTCAGCTCTTTTCTTTTGCATCTCATCCCAGCCACCTAAGGAGGTCTGGGTCATGTGTGTGTGTGAGCACCCTCCTGTGAGCAAAGCACCCAGCTGCATGCTGCACTAACCGACTGCTCTCTGTTCACTGCTAACAAAGGAGATAATTATGTCATGTCGACGTTTCGGAGGCTGGAGGTAGGTGCTGCCATGTTCTACTTACGTCACTTGGTCTCAAACTGCAAAAATGAGTCTTCCTCCTCACGTGTAACAGGTAAATGGTATTCCTGAGGAGAGGAAAGTGGCTGAAGCCCTGAACTTATGACCAGCAGCATGGTATCAGAGACACTCTCCAACCATCTGTCTGGGCCAACCCGCACGTCGGCCGTGTCGCCCGCCCACTCCTGAAGCAAGACACCACCTTTATCTGCCATCTTGTGCTTGTCTGTACTCGTTTTGCACAATGGACCTAAAGAGAATCACATTTTATGTCATGTGCCATATAACATTAAAGTCTTTAAAAACAACAGACTGCTTTTGTCATTTTAACAAATGAAGACAAGAAGCCAAAAGCATTTTTTAAAACTATTTTAACGATGTCCAAGAGAATAAAGGCATTTATAAATATGAATACAGATCCACACTTTGTAAGACATCACAGAAAACACGTCCAATATAGCGGAGGTCCTGAACAAGGGTAAAAATGCTGCTCTGACAGGATCCATGAAGGTCCACACAGATGCTCGCTTAGCTGGGTGATAGATGAGACCGGAGGTAAAACGCAAGGTTCTGACCCGGCCCGATCAGGAGACGCCTGCTAGAACCAAAACAAAAACACTGGAAACTCATCAGTAAAGAGGAATAACCCAGACTTTACCTGTCTAGCATCAGCAATGCAAAAAATATCTGATTCACACAATAAAATGTGCCAAATTAAAACTGAGTTCCACCTCAAAGGTGAAAAAGTCCCAACTAAAGTGCTCACGTTCTCGAGTGTGTGAGTATCAACAGGCTGAGACAGCTCCTGCTTAAATACGTTTCCTGTTTTGAACGTATGCATCAGAAACGAGTGAGTGCACCAGTGAGAGGTTCTGGTTCTGCTGCTGATGCGGTCCTGATGCAAAAGTGCCCAAACGTGGAAGACGGGATGAAGAAGCTCTCAGTGAAAATGCGCTGAACTTAAAAGCAAATGAGAAAATAAATAAAAAGAAATGAAGGCATTCATGAACAGGTGTAATGTTTCTGATCAGCTGCTGCTCCTATGTGCGCCACCGGAGCTTCCAAAATAAAACTCATCCTGTCATACAAATATATATATATTTACATCAAATCAACAGAGAAGGCTACCACACTAAAAGGCTGCACCTCGTTTACGATGCGTACAAAATTCATCTAGGCAACACTTCTTCACAAAACAGCAGTTATGGACGCAAAGTACAAAACAAGCTGGAAACAGTATAAAATATAAGCTTAATTTAAATCATTAAATACTGTACACGTCACATATGTCGGAGCAGCAGCAGGTGACCGCAGCCTTTCTGCCAAGGCAATCATACCAGATTTACCCAGAACTAAATTCAACAGCCGTTCCACTCCTGGTTCCACTCGTCGCTCTGAAGCGGTTTCTGGTCAGGCAAGCCGCTTGTTGGTCCATGTTTGCATATTTAGATATCTGTGGGAATACGGTACAACTACTCCGATAGATGTGAAGATATCTGAATAAGCGGGTTATGGCCATCAGCTGCTACGGTCCTGTGGACGGAGAGAAGAGCTCGTGGCTAACCTCTCATCAGTGTGCTTGGCTACACAGAAGACAAAAGTCCTGAACCAAGAGAAAGTCTTGAAGAACCTCTACACCTACAACCAGCTCATGTAAACATTTAAGGGCTTTTGTCCGTTTGCACTTGGCCCAAAATAGGACTACCCCTTGGTTTTAGGCCAGTTTTTCTGTTTTATTTTGGACCGTAGGGGTCGACAGCATTCTCCCACAGGGCTCTGCTGACTTCATCCTCATGTGGACTCAAGTCGGGGCTCCTCCCATCAGGCTCCAGGTGTGAGCTGGTTACCTCGGCTCAGCAGCAGGACGAGAAAACTACAGACCCCTATGATCCCCAGTCTCCTCAGCAGGGCCATGCTGTCTTTGGGGATGACCACCTGGGCCAGGTCGTTGGTGATGAGGGAAATCTCGTGTGCCACACAAACAAAGATGAAGGTGCTGACCATGATGTTGACTGATGGGTTTCCCGGGATGAGGACCAGAATTCCCTTGGTGTCTGCAGCGAGCCAGATGTGGTACTGGCATATGAACAGCTGGGGGAGACAAAGCAAACCAGCTTGAAAAAGGAAAGTGCCTCCAGACATGTTTACAACTAGTAACCTCTTACAGCAGGTATTATAATAAATGTTCTCCACAGCTGGGACCAGCTCACCTCTAAGGAAATCTTTCCAAACCAGGAAAAGAATGAGCTATAGATAGAGCGAGCATAGCCTGGAATGTTCCGGATGAGAATGAAGGCCAAAATCTGTTAGAGAGAGACAGTGACAGTGAGAGAGTACACTACACGATGCTCAGTGCAAAACTCGCCCCGATCTCGTGGATTCTCGCACGAGTGGAAAATCGGCTCAAAAAAAGTGAAAAAGTCGCACAGTGTACGCCCGGCTCTCCATTTAAATTTGAAATAGTAGCTGCCAGCTTCTGATCCGTCATCCTTTTGAAAATACCCCGGTGTATTCTGGGAAACTTTTCCACCAAGGCTAGGCTACAAGACACCTCCCGTGTATCCTTGCTCAGCTAGCTAAACGGCTAACGAACGGAGAACAGGTGCCTCAGTAGAACATGAACATTGGAACACGCCTTGGCGGTTCCTGGTAACGCATCTCCTAGGCAACCGGGCGGGACCAAGACATCAAGGCGAGGTTCCTTGGCATTGAGAAACAACCCGGGTGTGTGGCTGTAAAAGATCAGAAGCCACATTTATGAAACGTTGCATAAAATCGTAGCATAGCGTGGAATTCTTCCTAAAGTACTACTTGAGCTCAGCAAAAACAATATTAAAAACTTAAAACGTACAAGAACGCCATCCTGCAGACAAATTTCCTTCATTCTGGGGGCAGAACCAGCGCTCTTCTGTGGAGAAGAGCCGGTGTCTGCAGTGCCAACAGCTGATCCCTGGTGTAAGCAATAGATCCGTGGATGGAGGTGGAGGAATTTCCCAGTCCGTAGCCAGTCCCAAGTTAAAAAAGCATTTAAAAAAATGAACAGATGACACAAAAGTACTCCTGTGGATCATGGGGTTGAGGGAGCATGTGCTTTTTCTTTCATTGAACGAAGGGCACCAACAACTATGTCCGCGTCTGTATCTTCAACCTCGCCAGAGCCAGACAGGATGCACGGACAATCCTGGAGCCTATTCACGAGGATTTAGACCTCTAAACTTACAATGCTCTGATGAGCTGCTGCGTCTAGGACGGAGAACCTGTGTTTTCTGTCACGTGGCTTTAATATGGCGAGAACGGACACATTACAGAGGTGACAGCAGATTCACGGCTATCCACAACACACTTGTCTTCCTCCAGAACACGGCGTTCCTGACAGTGCTTTCTATACAGAAAGGAAAAACAAAGAATTGGATCCCAATGCAGACAGATGTAAACAGTACCTGGACCACAGAGATGTAAGGGTGCATCTCGTTACACTCCCTCTTGGTTTTGCACCTACTCGCCCAGATAGAGTAAGTCTGGAATAATGTGAAGAAGGAAAATACTTGAGAAACCAAAGACACTGTTTTTCTTCATCTTCAGAATAGCACCAGGTCTTACTATGAAGGAGACAACAGAGAGGAAGAGGAGCAGGTTGGAAATCTTAGCAGGGAAGAGCAACTCTCCCTTGGCCTCCGACAGCACCTGGCGCTTCTGCAGCACCAAGTAGATGAAGGCAAACACCATACCATGAATCACCGCCTGTGAAGTACAGGTTTGTGTTAAAACCATGTCACACAGAGGTAAAATCACTACATTTAAATCAGACAGACTGCTGGATTTATCGGTCTCTAAGGGTGGAAGAACATTTGACTCACAAATCGGTCCAGTTTCCATCTGAACCACCACTCATGGATGCTTCCGTTCAGCTCAAAGAGCTCGGAGATGGGCCACATGGAGAAGACTCTCTCAAAAAAACTCTGGAGTTCACAAAACAGAACAGAACTTATCAAAACTCCTTTCAATGATCAGATATGAGCATGCTCATAAATGACCTACATTCAAATGTAATCTAATCTAGATTACAACTCACCTGGGAAAAAGCAAAACAGCAGATAAACAGCAGCAGGCCGAGTAACTTCGCCAGAACTCCAAGATGCCACATACTACTGCCTGTTCAGAAAACATGATCAACAGCTTAGTGCTTTTACTCTGAAGTCACCAGACTTCCTGTTTATCCAGGACTGGGTGGGAGTAGAAGTGATCTGAAATGTGACGTGTACCGTTAGTCCTCTTCTGAAGGATCTGAGGCCACATGGCCATGGTGGAGTAGATGATGACAAACCAGAAGGTGACCAAGGGAACAAAGTAATAAAACTGGTACGGCCGGTCCATTACGACACAAAGCACCAGCACCAGGAAGTTCAGACGGAACAGAACCTGAGGAATAAACATGGAAAAACAGAATTCCCCAGATCAAACGCTGATAACACGCACATTACTGCTGTCACTAAGTGGACCGGACAAAAGAGTTACCGTTCGACTAAGGAACGCCTTACCTGACAAACTCTATAAAGTCCAAAGTCTCCCTTGAGCCAGAAAAAGGAAAAGTGTCCGTAGCCAGTCTGAAACAGGTATGCAGCTACCAGCACCCGCACGTGCATGTAGACTGGAATGAACTGGAAACACACACACACACACACACACACACACACACACACACACACACACACACACACACACACACACACACACACACACACGCACGCACGCACGCACACGCACGCACGCACACGCACACACACCCTTAGACACCAGCACAGACAGTGTCAGAGCAGAATCTCTGCATATTTAGGACTCACAGCACTGGCTCCAGAGATGTGATAGATGAGGATGACGAGCTGCATCCAACCTTTCCACTCATCCGTTTGTTCACGGTTCAGTAATTTGGTCTGAAATAAAAAATGAATCCAGAAATTAAAAGGAAGCAGAAAAGAGATTTAACTTGTCAAGTAAAACCAAAAACACTGATAACATCTGGGGGGGGGGGTCTCCACGTGAGACGGGCAGGACCGTTTGTGTGTCCGTAGAGACGGGGTTTAGGCTAAAGAGCTGATGTTGGGCTGAGAGTCAATATAAACATAAACATATCAACATAAACAATTACGATAATGAATGACCCACACTTGTATAGCGTTTTTCAAGATCAGAGGACTCCAAAGCTATTTACACTACAGTATATCATTAGGGCTGGACGATATGGCCTAAAAGTTATATCACGATATATTGAGGATTTCACCTCGATAACGATAAATGGACGATAACTACAGGTATGCACAGAAACAAAAGCTATCCACTAGATGGGGCTGTCACATGTATCGCATTGAGTCACATTTTTACATGACTCAAGGGGGTGCAGCTTCTTAAAGGGACATGAACCATGCCTACCTACACACATCTTTTCATTTTTTTATTATCAGATTTATCGACATGGGAAAAATTATCTCGATTAGAGTCAGTGGGTGTGGGGCGGTCTCCACGCTGTCACAGACTTCCTTTAGCATGAACATGAGTTGAAAATAATATTCACATTGGCCTTCTGACGCTCACGCTCTCTCTCTCTCTCACACACACACACACACACACACACAATCTCTCCCTCTATAAATAAACACTGACCAGATGTTCGGTGCATTTTGCCTCGTGCATCTGCCACAGTTATAACTGTTTGACTTGTTGTTCATTGTCTCCTTCTCTCTTCACTATACAAAATGGGTTATTGATAAACATATTGATAAAATCCATGACACACACACGCACACACACACACACACACACACACACACACACACACACGAGTGTTGGTGAGCGGCTGCGTCTGACTGCTGATGCTCCGTGTGTTTTTATTTCTGCAGTGAGACAAACTCACCTCACACCGTCCAGAGTTTGTTCTTTAAAGCTTCTATTAAATCCACCGTGTTGACGTATTTAACAAGTTTCCTCTAAGCCAGTGGTTCCCAAACTTATTTAGCCGCGCACCCCCTTCTATGTCCCGACCATGTTGACGTCAAAAGTCACCATTAGCGTAGCCAGAAACTCATTTGTGGGTGGGCCTAAGAAAACGCACATATATAAAGAAAATGTAAGTGGGCCCAATAAACGTAACTGAAAACAAGTATATTTTGCTTGTGTGTGTGTGTGTGTGTGTGTGTCCTCCGCACATGCCCTAGCTCAGGGGTCGGCAATCCGCGGCTCTGGGGCCGCATGCGGCTCTTCCATCCATCTGATACGGCTCTCTGTGCTTGTAAAATAATGAATGGATATTTAAATAAAATGCTTTATATTTTACTGCATAAATTTCACACCTGTAAGCTAATTCTAAATGTAAAGATTGTCTGCGTAAACCTGAACAGGTCCAACCCAGTCTTACTTTGAGACCGGGTTGACACGTCACGCTTGTGCGTAATCATATAGGCGCTTTCTGAGCTGAAGACGATGTGAGATTCTGGGACTCTCCTCAGACGCCACATTGGAGACAGGAACAAGCACAATTCAGCCAAAGTTTCATCATCAGGGAACATTTTCTAAGTGACAAGTCTCTCTGAGAGACCGGGTTTGGAAAACTCTCGCTTCAGTGGAAGAAATCTTCCCGCATGCGCTCTGGTTCTGCAACGTGCTCCAAGCCCCTCTCCACATCTTCAGCTCGCTGTGCACCTTATGTACGCGCTGAGCGGTGTCCAGCTCAGATGTTCAGAAGGAAATCTTTTCTTGAGTGATTTAGCTACATCTGCGATGTGCGAACAAGATCACGGATACAAGTGGTCAAAAATGAGTTTCCTTCGCAGGGTGGCAAGGTTCAGCCTTAGGGATAGGGTAAGGAACGCTGCTCCTCCGCATTGAAAAGAGCCAGTTGAGGTGGTCCGGGCATCTGGCCAGGTTGCCTCCTGCACGCATCCCTTGGGAGGTGTTTTGGGCATGTACTGCTGACAGGAGGCCCCTGAGTCAACCCAGGACTACCTGGGAGATGCAAAACTCCCTTTTTACCACGTGGGTCTCTACTATTTCCAAAGGTGGAAAAGCCATCTGTTCATTTTCTGTCATGTTTAGTTTTAGGAATCATACCTAAAACGAGCCATTCCAAAACATTAAAATAGAACCACCTCTCATGAGCAACAGGGAGCTGCTGCTGTAGGAGCAGCAGCTCTACTCAAAACCCTCCCAGAAATCGGAGCTTCTCAGCTTATAGCAGCCTAATCGAGGGATAGGTGGGCGTGGTCGGCAACAACTTGTTTACTTAAAGTGACAGAGCCCTGAAACAGCTCATTCTGGAAGGCACTGAAACTGTCAAGAATAAAGGGAAAACGGGTCCAACCAGGTGAGGAATCAGATCTCCACAGCATAAAACATCACAACAGAGCCACAACACTCTTTAAAACGTCCCTGACTCTTAGGGAAGTCTGCCTTAGCATTTGTTTCCCTCCCAACCTCGACAAGGCCATGTGAAGAAGAAGGAAGTGGAGCATTTGGATAAGAAAATGGTGGCACGCAGCTTAGGTCCATGCAAAACTGATAAGATGCAAACAAATCTGAAAGAGCATTTGGTTCAGCTGCTCAGAGACTGTCGACAGGGTTCCTTCTCAACTCTCCAAAACTAGGCTAATGTGAATATTATTTTCTACAGGCAGGATGAAGATTGCTCCACACCCCCAAACCCAATCTAATCTAATCTAATCTAATCTAAACTAACCACAAGCTCATTAGTAAGGCTTTGGTTATCAGACTGTGGCTCGGAGCTTCCATTACACTCTAGAACAGCTACAGCTCACCTCCTTGCTGTTTTCACTGTAGAACACTCCCAGAACAAGGATGTAGATGAGAGGGATGAAGAAGGTGGAGTTTGTGTAGAACTTCTGCTCCTTCATGAACACATCTGCCCTGTCACACAGGTAGAAGTAGCCCATTATCAGGCCCATTTTACAGAGTGCCTGGAAAGGAGCCTTTGGTCCGAGGGGAACAGCTGCAGTGGCTGGCTTCTTCTCCTCCAGACTCTCCACGTCAGAGGGCACGGGTCGGCGGTGGCGGTTGCTGCCAAGGAGATGAAGAACCATGAAGACCACGGCTGAGCCCAGGAAGAAGCAGGCGGACAGTTTCTGGGAGAAGTTTAGAGGCGATAATGTCTGACAGCAGGAGCCGTCGATGGGCCTCAGCACTTTGTTGCAGAATGAGTTCATGAGGACCATGGCTCCCTAAAAGGACACATGAAAAGAGAATAATTAGTGAAGACAGTCGGATGTCATCTACAGCTAGTTGAAGCCAAACACCTGCCTACCACATTCCTGGTGCTCTCAGGCAGGTGTAACCCGTCGTCTGACTGGCCGATGGTTTCTAGGGCGGCCTGGCGGGAAGCTGCCAGCAGCTTGACCCGAGGTCTGCTGTTGTATTTACTGCTGTTAAACACGCCCATCGCTGCTGCGTTGTACAGATCTAGCTGCTGGTTGGTGATCATCTTCCTGCTCTCACTCAGCATCTCCTCATTCACTGGATCTACAAAACACCCCCCACCCCCACCCAGGAAACAGGAAACATCACCAACAGTTTCTTCAGCCTGACCGACAGAACACTCATCATCGTGATGTTCCCCAACGAGCCTGGAGATGAGCTCACCTTGAAGGACCCAGTACACCGCTCCGGGGTCAGCCAGCTTCTCCAGGTGCACAGCTATTGCCGTCAGGTTGGCTCTGTACTGCTGCAAGGTCTCGCTGCTGCCACCGTGCAGCTTGATGGACCACTGTGGTCAACGGAGAAGCAGGTGAGATTGGGACCGGGAACTCAGACAACACCTGTGGTGAGATGTGCAAACACTGACAAGCATCCGTTTCTACAGCTTACTGTGGCAGCTCCGATGACGACGACGTCCGGCTTTGCTGCAGGTTCCTGCAAAACCAGAGAGAACCGTGTAGAATCCCTTTTTAAAGTATCCAAGCTTCACATTGCATCATGACTCAGACAATAAAAACACCCAGAAGACACAAATCAGAGCGATTAGAGACAGCAGCGCTTTAAGTAACATCATTACTCACGCGTATCCATGCTAGCAAACGCTCCTTCACTGAGTTATTGGCCTCTGGATGCCAAAGGAAGTCCTAGGAGCAGAGAGGAAGCATGCTTTTATCTTTTATCCCAGGATGTTTTTGTTGACTAAAATAGGGAAATAAAAAAGCATCTGGAAATAGCTCACCACATGAACAGAGGACCTGTCATCGAGGAAGAAAATGTCCTCATGCTTCAGACGTTACATGGAGACAGACGGAACAATTGTTAGAAACACAGCGGGCCTTTTGTTTCCACCGGCTTCAGCTCACATCAAAGAGTCACTTCTGTGGATACGACTCAGAAAAAGACCTAAAGGTCTGGTTTTAAATCCAAGTGTAAAATAAATAAAAGCTCATTTTAAAGCAGAGTGGTTTCTCCAACAGTATGGCATCTCAGAGGTAGGAGCAAACAAAATGAATGTTTTTATTTTTGTTCCCAATCCCTGCAGGGTCTCACATCCTTCTAAACGGAAACATTACAGTTTTGAAATGAAGTCTGAGGACTCCCACCTTGTTTCCATCTTCTCTTCGCTCAGGGTCAATTATTTTGACAAACGAGTAAAATAACTGCCTGATTCGTGAGTCGCCGAGGAAGACCACGCGTTTCTCTGCAAGGCATGCTTTGGCTTCACTGAAGACAGAAATGTGTGTGAGGAACAGAAAACAGCAACCGTACAGAAACACTGGTGCCTTCTTTAAGCTTCGGTTTACAATCTAATCTCTGGGCAACAAGATTATGCAAAACTTTGGAATCAACAGCCATTTGACAAGATCAAACCTAGAGCTTTTAATAATCAAGATGTCCCTCTACATGTGTGGGTGTGTAACAAACAGCCATCTAACCACAGAACAGATGCTTCATTGGGATGGAAAAACACACCCAAATTATGTACAAAGGTCAGAGGCTGAAAGGAACCGTTGCCCTCCCCAGATGTGGTCAACCTCCAACAGAAACGTGTGACACGACTACAGAAGGAGCTGCACCATCAGGAGGGCTCTGACAAACTACTGATTACTTGATAAACCAGAACAAACTGTCAAAAAAGTGTTTTTTATTTATTTATATTGGGGGGCAAAATATGACCTTAATTCCCAATAACCCCATTGTTACTGTTAAAACAGTATTGTAGTTTGGACTGATTTTTCAGGATTGGGATCAGAACGGTCCATTCTAAATGATACCACAGAACAATTAAGGGCCTTTTTTTCTAGTAAAAGAGACCTGAAGGTGAGGACCAGGCTAACGTCCCAGGTGTCTGTTAGTCCAGAACCCCACTGGGCTCTTCAATGATGTTGATCAACTTCATGGAATTCAAAAATGAGTTTACAAAATGTCCCAAAAATGCTCTCCGGAGTTTAGGAACAATTATTATAATATACTGGACCATATAAGAGCCAGCTACCCCGGCCGACTGAACAGCAGCAGTTTGTGTGACTCACATGCTTTTGTATCTGTGCATCATACAGCCATACGGCTGCCATACGTTCTCCCCCAGGTAGCGTCCTCTAGACAGCAGCCATTCACACGAGTCCCCACCTGGAGGCAGACAGATCCTAGCAGTAAGTCCTCACAAAAAGAGCACTCTTATCTTGCTTTCACTCATGTTTCTATCCAACTATGACAGAAATCTGCTGTGCAGATAGTACCCTGGCTTCCATTCAGTGCACCGCTATGAAAGGACTACACAATGCACCACTCAGTCAGGGGCTGTGGTGCAAAATGAAGCCATCGGCAACTTAGCTCGGGCATTATTCATTCCAGCAACTCATTTGTGTGCAACATGAATGGAGCCATCTGCAACTGAAGCAGGAACAAGACACAGACGAGGAGACTGGAGCCTGAGGACAGTCAGATTAGCGTAACACCCCCTCAGTTACAGCAGCTGCTCAGTGTGTACCATAGGATCTCTCTGTCCTTCCCATTTCCTTTCTTTGGTGCAAACTGCTAGTTTTAGATAAATACAGAGTTCTTGCACCTTTATTAAAACAAAGGTACATCGACTATGTCACTTCCTCTGAGCACGTTAGAAACAAATCTCACCTGTAAGAGCTGTTGACAGAAAAACTGTCTTAACTCATCCGGTGTTTGGGGTCCTTTCAGACAAACAGAAGTTGGTTTAGGATCAAAATAGTCTCCTAATATTTATTTTATTGAACCGTTGAGGGAGAAAAGTACATTTACATACTTTTGTCTTTAATTTCTTAAACATTCATCTTCATTTAGTCAAAACGTTTCTACTTTGGTAGTAAAAGTTCCCAACAAGCCGCAACAGAAGATGCATACAGTTTCTGCTCCACTGACAAGAGCAGGCATGCTAGCCGGGAGTTATTTAGTCAACAAATTAGCATTTCGTTGGTGATACACTCTTTACTCAGGAGCTAACATTAATTTTTACAAGACGAATATGGTTTTATAACGCTCTAAAACTACAACAATTTGCTTCCGAAAACACAATGAATTTAAAATGTGTTATCGGGATTATGTCACGCGCATGTCAACACAACTAAATGCAACGCTAGCTTGATGAAACTAGCCACTTGGACAGGTCGAGCGGCGTTGCTGCTGAACGTTTTTGCTGATTTTAGTCTTTATGAGCAGCCGTGCGTTTTATTAAAGCTTCCCAGTAAGCGCATTTCACCTGTACGGAGCACGATGTCTGCACCGCAACGAGCAGCGGGGAAAGCCCTCGCAGTCACAGGAAGCTAGCTGCTGCTAGCTTGTGTCCTCCGCGGTCAGTTCAAATAACGGTAAAGCACTCACCTCCATAAGACCGCAGCGCAGTGTGGAACAACAGCAGCAGGATCACAACCACCAGCGATATCAGCTTGGCATTTTTTATGGTAAAATGTTGATTTATTTCGCGTTTGCCCAGGCTACAGGCCAGGAGCGCCATCTTTGCTCCTCCATGACAACAGGCAGCTGTGTCGTCCAGCATCACCACCACAACCACCACCTGTCCGCTCTGCCTCATGCGACACCGCCCCCTCCATCACCAAGCAGGTCGCTGTTTCCTCCACTGGAGTTTCACCACCGAATCATCTGGATGCTACTGGGTTTACCATAAAGTGTTGTGCCTTTTAACTCTGGAAAACCAACCTTCATGCGTTTAGAGGAGGTGGTAGAACCGGTAAAACCAAAGTCTACCGTATAATTGAGCTTGGAGGAATTCTTCACTAACCAGCTAAAGTTGTTTATCATGTTAGTTAGTGGCTTTCGTGGGTTTATGATACTGTTCCGGGTAGTTTTACGACCAGAACTGAACAGATAAGAGCCTAGCGCCAAACGTTCACGTTTAAAGGTGAACTAGGTGAGGCAAGACCCTTTACTCTAATGAGGTCTGAAATATCGCGAGATTTAGGAATTCATTCAAATTAATGTTTATGTAATTGCACACACACACACACACACACACACACACACACACACACACACACACACACACACACACACACACACTTCAATTAAACTCTATGCTGATGTATAATGTTACCATTCATACAAGGCACTCTGGGTATTGTAGTTCTATTTTCCAGAGCTGGTTTAGTTTTTAATTGCCTTTCTATTTCAAAATAACTGAATTCAATCCATCCATCCATCCATCCATCCATCCATCCATCATTTCCTTACTCTTAGCTGGAGTCTGGTCACGGGGGCAGCAGCCTTAAGTTGAGAGGCCCAGACTTCCCTTTGCCCAGCTACTTGGGCCAGCTCTTTCGGGAGAATCCCACAGCGCTCTCTGGCCACTCGAGAGACATAGTCCCTCTAATGTGTCCTGGGTCTCCCTTTAGGTCTCCTCCTGGTTGGACGTGCCCGAAAAACCTCACCAGGGAGGCATCCAGGAGGCAGATGCCCGAGCCACCTCAACTGGCTCCTCTTGATGTGGAGGAGCAGCTGGTCTACTCCAAGCCCCTCCTGGATGACCGAGCTTCTCACCCTATCTCTAAGGGAGAGCCTAACTAAATTCTTAATATACTATTTTAAACTTGTTTCCCCTCAATATTTTGACCTTATTCTGGAAATAATATTTAATTATCAACTCAATATTATGTCTTTGACCTGAACTATTTCTCTTTTTCAGATTCCTGACCATTAAAGATATGTGGGAAAATATATCATCTCACTTTTCAAATATGGAGATGAAATTGAGTTAAAATGTGCAGAACAATGACATTTATCTTGCCTGGTTGTGCAGCCCCCTGGTACTCAGCCCCCCTTTACCTCTGATCCTAGAATCGCCCCTGCTCATCTTCAAACACACAAGTGGTTTCATACCTAAAGGTAAGCATGCATCTAAATACTTTAAACCCTTGTGTCACATGTACAATAAAATGTGCAAAAAACAAAACAAACCATTTAAAAAGTGTTCTTATCGCATTCTAATTGTAAATATAATATTGTGTTGTAGTAGAAAGTGCTAACATTCTTAAGTGAAAATAACTTTTTTCTACTTTCCTTTTTTACTTGCACTTGTTAAACTACTGCTAGTATTTTTTGCTGCACTAGCTTTTCAGATGAACATAGTAAAACAGCAGCTTTACGTTATGTATGGATACTTAAGTGTATTCAGAATGGGAAATCTGTGGCTCTGTTATTCAAACTTGCTACTTGATGCCACTATTTTGCCTAAATCAGCTGTACTTACAGAAGCTTTAACTATAAGTCCACTACCATCTAGTGGATATATAAGGTGCCGCAGCTGGTTAATCATAAAAATAATAAACAATAATGCATCTAATAACTAAATTCATGTATCACTGCAATTCAAGCCTTGATCCAAACCCAAGTTTATTTGGATGCAAAAGCTGTTTTGTGCAAGAAAAAGCAACATGTGTAGATGCATATTTACAGGAAACAATGCACTGTAGTAACACATTGACATGGAGAGCGTGAACAGAAAGTTTTACGATACATCAAAATTTGATGCGTTTCTGAAGGGCAAAATGAAGGGAGGAGGAGGGGCCGTGTCATGAAATGGTTGTGCTTCCACAATAGGAAGATGTTTAAGTCAATGCTGATGAAACACCAGCCAAAGCAAATAAAAGTAAGTACAGTGACACACTTTCAACAATGTCAATAAAACATAAAAGTCACTGCCTGGGTGGTGGGTTTCGGAACACTGGACATGCTTTATTTCAGAACTTTTCACAATTTATTTAAACATCTCACATATACAAAATAGGTACAATAGACTTTGTGGTGGCATTGTTTGAGAGAGAAAGGAAGCCTAAAACTGTTTGGAACTGGATGGAAAAATGAGCTGTCAGACGAACACTGAGAGGGAGGAGACCGGAAAAGTAAAAAAAAAAAAAAAAAGCCTAAAAATGGGAACAAAACAAAAACCAGACAACAGATTTCAAACATTCCACCTGCTTAAATAGGAAAATATCAGCAGGATAAATGCAAGGCTCCTCATTGGTCAATACAAAGTAACACAGTAAAAGTGGTTTACTCCACAGCTGCGTTTTAGCACCATAGATCTCTGCTTCAAGTTACCAAGCACCTTCCAAACAGGACAAAACTTGAAGCATTACAAGTCTTAAAATCTTGGTTGTGGACTCAGGTTTTGTCAATAGTATTTTCTTTGAGCACAGGCATGAGGTAGTTCAAACCTTTTGTTCTTGGGAGTTGTGGTTTTAAACCTCCTCTTTGGAAGATATACAAAGACCACAAAGTGATGCGTACTTTCAGCTTTTTTATTACACTTCTTTCATTTTTTTTTACAAAAAGATGCCATGATGTTCCACAACAAGGTGTTTTCCCGCGTCCCTTTGGGTGGCTGTATTAATTTGCATTGCACAAAAATCTCTGTTCAGTCCATTTAGTCCTTCCTGATAGTTGCCCATCTTAAGCAAGTGGATGCGCAGAGAGAATCAGCATTCAGTACGGAAAAAAAAAACACAAAGGAAGGGCAGAGATTTGGGGTTTTTCTTTTGATTCATTCTCTCTTTTTTGTGGTGTTAATTTATCATGAGTCTATTTATTTGAAACAGACTGGGCCAATGTCCAAACCAAACTCCTGATCAGCTCCACCAATGTCCAAAGGTGCAATGTCGAGGATTGGCAGGCGAGTTGGTTTATTTGTTCTGTACTCAATCACTGTCTTGCTCCATTCACCAGTGTGTGTCTGCAAACGATGAAAGAAAAAGAGAGATTACACATCGGCAAAACTTCACTAAACAAAACTAGGTGAAAAGATTTGAGATTCAGCATCTTATTTCTTACTCAAGAGGGTGAATCTTCAGCAATGAAAGAAACGCAAAACTCTACTCACAGTGCAACCATCCTCCAGCACGGAGAAGGTGAAGCGGCTGTTGCCCTCAGCTCTGAGCTCCACGTCGTTGGAGCCCTGGAGTACCACAGCCTTCTTCAGGTTGCCGCTCTCACCATCCATGTAGGCAACGCTGTTCTTGCAGTGGTAGGTGATGTTCTGGCTGGCCTGGTTGGACAGCAGGCGCATGAAAGCCAGCTGGGTAGCCATGCTCTGTGAGCTGAGGGTCTCGTCGTTGTAGGTGAACTGCACAAAGGAAGGATTCCGTCAGTATTTGGGATGGAAGCAACATTAACCTGAACAGTATTTGGCTAAAATAAGTAACATGGATGGCCTCGCACCTCCGTGCCACCGTTGATGGTCTCTCCGAACCAGACGTGCTTCCTGGTCTCTGTGCTTCTGTACCAGTTCTTGCGTGCAATGCTCTCGGGATGGGCGTAGATGCAGGTCTCGCGAGTTGTAAAGTCACAGAAAACCTTGATGGCATCGTTGATGGAGCCCTGGTTAGGGTCAATCCAGTAGAATCCTAAAAACAGGAAGTAAAATCAGACAGATCCTCTTAGTCTTGATTAAAACAAACTACATCAATATGCAGTAAAGGCTCCAGATGCATGTTAGCTCTTACTGAATGGTAGTTTGAAAAAAGTCAAGCAACCATCAAGTGAAGACAAGCTTACCACTGCTCCATTCGGGGTGGCTGAGTCTGATGTCACGACAGGTGCGGGCAGGATTTTTCCTGGATCCCTCGGGTGTCAGCAGGTTGTCGATCTGAGTGTTGAGGGACTTGATGGTGGCATCCACTTCATAGTCCTTGGCTCTCAGGGCAGGCTGATCGGCTCTGTACTCATCGTATCCAGAGACATCATATCCACCACCAGATGGGCCAGGAGGTCCGGGCAGACCGGGAGGTCCAGCAGGACCCTGAAATGTATCAGAGAGTGGATTAATACACAGGGCAGCAACTGCAACCAGAAACAGAACTATGATTTACAAGAAGGTTTTGATGTAAAGTCAAACTTACCACTGGTCCAGAATATCCTGGAGGTCCACGAGCACCAGGAGCACCCATAGAACCATGGCCGCCAGATCTACCATCCTTACCAGGGGGTCCGTTAGGTCCAGCAGGTCCCTGAAGGGGCGATTATTACGTTAATCACAGCTGGATGTGTTCAGCTTCTGCTAACTTCTCAGTCCTAATTGATTAGGGCTCCCACAAGTTCAGATTTCTACTCACTCTGGGTCCACTGTGTCCAACTGGTCCAGCAGATCCAGTGTCACCAGAAGGTCCCTGGAGGAAGAGAAAACAACCAATAAATGACACTGCAGCAACGTCCAGACTCTTTCTGTCACAAATGAAATGATACATATCTGATATATCTGCTCATTGTGTTGGTGTGTTGGCACTCACAGAAGGTCCAGGCATTCCCTGGAGACCAGGGTGTCCTCGCAGACCCTTCATGCCTCTCTCGCCTCTTTCTCCAGCAACTCCCTTCTCACCACGGGGTCCAGCAGGTCCCTACAAAAACCGCACACAAGGAAGACCATTGTGGTTATAAATGATAGAACTGGTATGTTCTTGGCCAAAGAACACTCCTCGGTTGGACATTGATGTTATTGTTGGTGTTTGTTGAACTTACAGGGGCGCCTCTAGCTCCAGCAGGGCCAGCAATTCCAGAAGGTCCTGATGGGCCCTGAAGACACACACAATCAAAAGCAAGATTAGTGTAGTATGTGGATGGAATTTAGTGAAGGTGATGAGAATGAAGAATTCAAAAATATTTACAGCCTCTCCACGGTTTCCAGGTCTTCCAGCAGCTCCACTGGGTCCAGCAGGTCCGGGGGCACCAGCAAGTCCCAGGGCACCAGGAGACCCAGGCTCACCACGGTCTCCCTAAGCACAGAGAGCAAGGACCCATGAAGAACATGTTCTGTAAGGAGACATGTTTTAAGGTGTGGCAGGACATTACCTTGAATCCAGGGGCACCAGCACGGCCAGGGGGTCCGTCGTTACCAGGGCTACCCTGTAATGGAAGAAAAGTTGAAAAGTTACAAAACCTTTTTAAACTGGTCATAATTGTCTTTCTGCTGCTTTGATTGTTTGTGTCAAAGCTGTACCTCACGTCCAGCCTCTCCCTGAGGTCCAGTCATACCAGCCATGCCCATGTTGCCAGAGGGGCCACGGGCTCCAGCTGGGCCAGGAGGTCCAACTCTACCAGGCTCTCCCTGTCATGTTGACAAGAAATCAGTTGGTCAAATAGACAAGGCTTCACAATCGTGATATTTTTAGACAGAAAAAGTTTAGGTGGAGTCAATTTAAGGGTTGAATAATTGGGTAGGGTCGGTGGTGTCGAAGCAGACGTAGTGCTCACTTAGAAGTTAGACAATACAAGTTTCTCACTGGATTAACGTTAGGCTGTGTTTAGCAACATTAACATCATTCCCTGTTGGCATGATCTGGATTTATAAATGAAGAAGATTTTCAAGTTGAAGATGAGCAAACCAGTCTAACACTGGTCCCAAGGCACTGGAGGTTATATCACACTGAGATTTTGTGTGTTAGTGATGCTAGTCTACCTACCAAGGCACCAGGACCACCAGGTGCACCACGATCTCCTCTAGCACCAGGCAGACCAACAAATCCTTGAAGTCCAAGAGGTCCAGTGGTTCCAGGAGCACCAGGAGGTCCCTGTTCAAAACCATCAAAACAACTATGATCAGCTATGAGGAGAAGGTGTGTCTATGGTTCTGATTAGGGATGTTCAGTATCTGTCTTTTGATATACCACCATTGTCTAACTCTTAATCTCTGATACCGATATAAACCGATACCAATAACAAAAAGGAGAATAATTTAGGTAATTAACATCACATATATCCTATGCACATGCATAAACAATGGCTGTGCAAAATATGACCGCTACTTCAATTTAAGTTAGGCCAGGTGTGCCAAACAAACAAAATCATCTCAAAAACTAAACACCTCAGATCTGTCATACTTTGACTTTTGGGTAACACTTTACAATAGAGGTCCATTTGTTAACATTACTCACTGGATTATTAAGCATTAATAAACTATTAAATAAAGTAATAACAACTGCTTAGCCCCATCCCTCATCCTTTCCTTAACCCTAACAATAACGTTAATAAAGGGACTCTTCGTTTATTACATCTTAATAATGGTCTAAGTAAATGATAAATGATAAATGACCCGCACTTGTATAGCGCCTCTCAGAGTAAGGACTCCAAAGTGCAGTGTATCATTCATCCATTCACACACACATTCACACACTGATGGGGATGAGCTACGATGTAGCCACAGCTGCTCTGGGGCGCACTGATAGAGGCAAGGCTGCCGAGCACAGGCGCCACCAGTCCCTCCGACCACCACCAGCAGGCAAGGTGGGTTAAGTGTCTTGCCCAAGGACACAACAGCAGAATTCTCTGTCCAAAGCCGGGATCGAACCTGCAACCTTCCGATTACTGGACAACCCGCTCAACCTGTTGAGCTACTGCTGTCTCAAGTAACGTTAATAAAGGAGCCCTTTGTTTATTACTGTTTAATAATGCACGAAGTAACATTAATAAGGAACCCTTTGTTTATTACCACTTAATAAAGTTCTAAGTAACATTAATAAAGGGACCCTGTGTTTATTAATGCTTCATAATGTATAAAGTAACATTAATAATGGGACCCTTTGTTTATTACCACTTAATAAAGTTCTAAGTAATGTTAATAAAGGGACCCTATGTTTATTACTGCTTAATAATGCACTAAGGGACATTAATAAAGGGACCGTGTTTATTACTGCTTAATAATTCACTAAGTAACATTAATAAAGGGACCCATATTATAACGTGTTACTGACTTCTTGAGTGAGAGGAGAATTAGCTGAAGAGTGCTATAATGTGACTGGTATGTAAAGGTTGTGTCATTGAAAAATTTAAAAACTGATACAGATAATTTACGATGTAAGATTGTAATACTATTGTCAGCTGATAATATTGGACATCCCTAGTTCTGTACACAACAGGTTGGTATTCTTAGATACATACAGCAGGGCCAGACTCTCCAGAGGGTCCCTTCTCTCCAGCTGGGCCAGGTGGTCCAACAATTCCCTGCTCTCCAGAAGGACCAGAGGGACCAGGATCACCACGGAGACCACGGGGTCCATCTTTGCCAGCGGGACCAGAGAAGCCAGGAGGTCCAACAATACCCTGGGAAGTTCAGGAAAGGGTTTCATGTTGGATGTTTTTGTTTGTTTGTTTGTTTGTTTGTTTTTGTAAAGAGACGACTTACAGCAGGGCCAGGAGCACCGACTCTACCAGCAGCACCAGGCTGACCAGTCATACCCTGAAGGTAAACACACACAGGTTAGACCAGGGACAGTAACTGACATCTTTTCAACAGTCCTTAAGCTTTGAGTCTTAAATGGATAGTAACTATTGTATTTTATTGTCACAGTGTGTGCACAATGTGCTGGCGTCTTTCTCGGCCAGGTCACCCTTGTGAAAGGGGTCCTGACTTTCGATGTTTATTATTGTCAAATAAAAGTTAATTAAAAAAGTGTGAGTGCTGATCATTAAAAAGAAATCCTTAAATACAAGTCATAAAGAAAAATAACCATTATCTGCTTTCTGCAATAAAAAGCATTTACCATGAAGGACAAATTAGATCAGTCTTATCAGCACCACGGTATGAAGAAGCCGAAGCTAGTCCATGTCTAGAATGTTTTTGTTCTCTGATATGTTTTATATACAAAGTGGCATCATAGGAGAGTGTTTCTGTACTCACAGCAGGACCCGTCTCTCCACGAGCACCAGCAGGTCCAGCAGGACCAGAGGGACCCTAGACAGAAATATAATACATACAACCTTATATCACATTCAGTTAGGTGTTTAATCATGACTCTGAACTTCATGCACATAAAGCTTTTACAAAAATCATTAAAGAAGCCACTTCATGGAAAAATCCACTTTTTACCACGAGATACCCCAGACCCTTTTTGGACTGCATTCATGCATTTTCCTGTCTCAGCTGCAAGTTTTCAGATTTCTGGAAAAGCCTCGATAAAAATTAAACGCATCATCAGGCCTTTCTCCTCCTCCTGAAGCTTGTCTCAGATGTGGGACCCGCCTCCCCTGGATGTAGGTCACTAACGCCAACTTTCTCTGAGTTGTGAGCATTGAGCGGTTAATTTAATGCTGCAGTTGAGAATATAACCTTCATGTCGCAGATGACTGCTTTAAACCTCCACCAGTACCAGAGTGGATATTAGACAAATTACCTCTGCACTGGGTGCAAAACGCTGCTATAAAAACCATGTGTCCTGTCCACAAAGACACATGTCCTGGGGCCTCGTTTATAAAGCTTGCTTACGCACAAAACGGGGTCGGAAAACTGCGTAAGCAACTTTCCACGCAAACTTTGGGATTTATGAAAGAAAACTTAGAGGAAAAATGTGCGCAACTTTAAGTTGACTAAGGACCTGGCTTACGCACATTTTGGACATGGAGAGCACCTGCAGTGCTGCTGCTGAGAAGGATAAAATTATGAAATCCTGCAGCATTATCACTTGTACTGCTTCATGTTCACACAGAACAAGACCCTCCACACGCACACACACACACACACACACACACACACACACACGCACACGCACACACACACACACACACACATACACACACACAGACAGATTGAGACAGAATGTCATGTGTCTGTGACAGTGTGTGTGTCCTGTCACTGTGACCCGATTGATCATGCGCCCTGGCTACTTGAACAGGAGAGATCTCTGTTTGTCTGACTGGTGAGTGCGCGTGGCTTTCACCCGGGAGTCTGGGGATCGAATCCTCATCGGATCATTTTTTTTAATATCCGCCACAGATCTCTCTGAAGAACTCAGCATTGATGGCTTCAGCAACGCTGTGCCACTCCGTGGATTTTCTCTTATTTGTTTTGCAACAGCACTTCCTTTCATTTCTCCACCTCACCCACAGGTACCTGAATTTCTGCTTGTGAAATAGTGCTTCCTTGATCTGTGGTCATGATCGAAATGCTGCAACAAGCCAGCTTATGAATATGCATGAGATTCACAAGGCACTTTGCATTGACTATTTATGGCAGTAAGTGGGCGTGGTGAGGGCGGGATGTGACTAAAAAGCAACTGAGGAACAGTCTCGTTAGTCTCCGATTTATGAAGCAGAGATTGCATGCAGCTGTGCGTGCTCCATGTTTGATAGATCACAAACCTACTTGGCGTAAGTACATTTTTTTGCTGAGCTTAAGTTCGGTTTTAGTAAGGATTCTACGCAACGTTTGATAAATGAGACCCCTGGCCAGCACAGGACATGTGTCTTAGTTGGTAGGAATGACGGCATTTAAAGCAACGGCGTAACTAACGGAAGTTAGCTTTTCAGTAACGAGTAATCTGATTAATGATTGTCTTCTTTTGTCATAACAGCGTTTCCGTTACTGATAAGAAAGTGTATGTGTTACTATAATTCAGCAGCACGGTGTGTTGACGCTGTCATCAGCTGATCGGGGGCTAAAGGAGTGGACCTTTAGTGCATCACGACCAGTGAGCAAAGAGGAAGACGTGATCAGACGTGATCAGGAAGGGTGATTGCAATTACTGTAGACCACACAGAATTTTGACATTTTAACACCCAGTCACCAAAGTAAATAGGGTTTTGTGCAGTGCCGGCTACTTCCGGACCCTCATCTGGTGATGTAGATGCAACGTCACGTGAAACTCAACAATAGTCAAGGTGGGATACCCGCAGATTCGTTACTGCAGGCGTGAATCTGCTCTGCGATCAGCACTTCTGTATCTGAGTCTGACCCAAGTTAGTAAATTTAAGTAATCCATCAGATTGTTCCTGTTCTAGTGTCATTTTTGAGGATATTTATTTATAGAGATGCTGTTACTAGAATATAAGTAATAGAAATGCAAGAATAGAAAATGATAGAAATGGAAAATTATGTAAAACTAGAAAAATTAGGATACAAAGTTACATTTATTTCAGTAATCCAACTACATCGAGAGACCATTTAAAGGCTCAGTTACCCTTTACAGGCCTTTTCTATTGGGGTCTTTTTAAATATTACACGGTGACATTTGAATATTTTAGGTCAGTGTCATGTTCTTGTTTGTAGTTCCTCCTGTTAAAATAAATAGATATTTTCTTGGTAATTAGTTACTTTAATAATCTTGTAACTGAGTAACTATTTTGACAATGATATTACTTACTATAACTTATAACTTTTTTAAAGTAACAGTCTCATCACTGGTCTCAGATGATTAATCATAGCAAACCTGGTATCCCGGTGGTTAGAGTGACTGCCCTGCATGCTTTTTACACCAGTTTGACGCTCAGTTAATCTTTTCTTATTTTTTAGTTACACTTCCAACACTTTTTTTGGTAAACAGTTTAAAATGTAAAGACATAAGAATATAAGTTTGTAGTTTGTTTAGCCAGTGTGAGTCCATGTGAGGTGAGCAGAGTAAATCAGCTAAAATGCTGCTTGAAAACGACCAAATTCAAAGATCTGTAGAGACACTAAATATTTTGCAGAAAATGATGAAATTAAAATATAAAAAAATGAAATCTGAGCCAGCTGGCTAAATAAAGTCTGCTGACACTGGGAGTTGAGCCGGCATCAGCACATGGCAAAGCAAGATAAAAGGCAGTTGCTTAAACCACTAGACTACCAAAGTAGTAGTGAAAGCTTGCCTAAGACCCTCTTGTAGGCGTGTTTTGTTGTAGCAGGTGTGGGCGGAGCTTCACTGAAACAAACTTGGTACAAATTTACAAAGTCAGGTTGACAAAAATAACTTAAAGATAAAATAATATTTGAATAACCAGTGGTTCAATATTTTATCATATATTGTGCCTACCTTTACTCTGAAAGGTTTAAAATAGCATGATTGATGTCGTCTCTGATTAAATGTACAGGTTCTGTTTTAGATTTGGTTTAGGGTTGGAATTAATTAATTTGGCTAACAAATAGAAAAGGCATGTGTGTGTGTGTGTGCGCGCGCGAGTGTGGGTGCTTACAGCAGGTCCAGACTGCCCAGCAGGGCCAGCAGGTCCAGCGGGGCCAGTCTCTCCCTTTCCTCCAGCAGGTCCACGCTCTCCTCTTGCTCCAGTCTGACCGTCATTACCCTGAAGGAGGAGGAAACCGAACCATATAAATATCCAGACAGGCCTGTGAGTATGTGATGCAACTCATGTTAATCCCAATCCTAATCGTTAGGAGTATGCTTACAGGGGGTCCAGCAAATCCAGGGGGTCCAGCAGGTCCAACCTCTCCACGCTCTCCCTGTAGGCATCAAGCAGCTCTTTAAATCAACCGTTTACTGGTTCATTAAAGGCTATTACTGATCTTATGATGTTCAAATGAAATCTAACGATGGATCAACAGGTGCTTACAGAGGGTCCACGAGCTCCGGCAGGGCCAGCAGGTCCAAAGGAACCGCTCTCACCCTGAGAAAACAAAAACATTCGTAAGGAACTGTTCCATCTGTTTAATGGTTCATTAGCTGAATCATCATTTACAAACAAAGAATAGTGTTCACTTGTTCTAATTATAAAGGGATCTAAAAGTCGTGGCTTCTTTGGTATAAAACGATAAATGACGTGTACTTGGGTAGTGCCGTTGTACGTCGGAGGACTCCAGAGCGCTTTACACTACAATCATTCACCCACTCTGAGAGTGATGAGCTACACTGTAGCCACAGCTGCCCTGGGGCACACTTACAAATTATGCTACTGTAGGGTTGTTGCATTAGTATTAATAAAATATTCAAATGATAAAAAATCTTTTAAATAACTTTTTTTTACCTTTTTATTCAGTTTAATGTTTTCTAAACCACGGCCATCTTTATGAAGAAAGACTTTTTTGTGTCATACAAGAAACCACCTTTAGGTGGCAGCAGCGAGCCACTGAGTTCAGACGTGACAAAGCATTTAGGGCGGTGGGGGGTGGATAGGTGGATAGGCATCATTATGTTACAGATGCATATCAGGTCTGAAGGTGACATCTGGGTTTGTTAGAACCTTCTCGTCCATGTGGTTCTCCGCTGGAGTTCAGCTGAACAGAATCCATTTTCAACAGCTTTCGCACAAGCCGTTTATTAATCAAATAAAACTTTATATTATTTGTTTGTTTACCTTGCACACCCTACACATGTGTCATTTTTACATTTTATGAAAGTTATTTCATTTTCTACAATCATTACATCTGCTGACCTTATCTCCATTTGCTCCAGTGGGTCCAGGGGGTCCGGGAGGTCCAGCAGGGCCCTGGTAGGACAGAGGAGGCAGTTTGATCAGAGATCAGGCTCAAATACCCTAAGTGATGAAGTGAATCGGCTTAATGTTGAGTGTTTCTAAAAGACAGCGCTGAACCTACACGAGCGCCATCTCTTCCTGAATTTCCATCAGGGCCACGGTGTCCAGTCTCTCCCTGCAGGACAACAAGGATAGGGTCATGAGATGAGCAATAAAAATGGGAAACAGCACACAGCCAACTGGTGACCTCGTGTGCACGAGGTGAATTTTCTTTTTAGAGGTTACCTTCTCTCCCTTGGGTCCTGGAGTACCAGCAGCTCCACGCTCTCCGGGCATACCAGCAGGTCCCTGATGTCCAGGAGCACCAGCAGCTCCAGCAGCACCAGGCTCTCCCTAGAAAACAAAAAAACTATTATTATTGACAATTATCTTTTTGCCTTTTTGCTAACATCCAAACATCTTTTTCTTAAAACTTTCCACGGCAACCTCATCATCCTACCTTGCCACCATCAGGTCCAGCAGCTCCAGCAGGTCCACGTGCTCCCATGACTCCCTGAGGGCCAGCTGCTCCAGCAACACCTGGATTACCACGCTCTCCCTGAAGGTTCACACACATGTTTATTTTCACACACAAACCACGAGGGTGCTACTGGTTTGGAAAACACATGATTGAACAGGTGACCTCACCTTGACACCGGCAGGTCCAGAAGCTCCCTGCTCTCCAGGGATTCCCTACAGAAACACAACCGTTGGGTTAATGGTGGACCATACTGGTTACCAGCTGCTGAACAGCTCAGATTTGGTGTGTTTGCTTACTCTGTCTCCAGGCTTGCCAGCCTCACCAACAATTCCGGCAGGTCCAGGTAGACCCTAAATGTGGCGACAGAAGATTTATTGATGTTTCCTTCAAATTGCCAAGTGAAGTCCGGCATGATAATACTGCAGTATGAATGAATGAATGAAAACAGGTGAGAGATCCCACCTGGAAACCAGGAGCTCCAGCTGGTCCCTGTTCACCCTTCTCACCAGGACCACCCTGCACCGAGGAGACAAGAGTCGCATGTTTAAAACGGTTTAATGATGCTGAAGTCATATGAAGGTCTTGTCTGATGGACACTTACAGCAGCGCCCATGGGGCCAGTGGCTCCATTGTTGCCATCAGGTCCAGGGGGTCCCTAATCACAGAGACAGGAGTTTATATCCACCCAACAGGTGACAGCTCAGATGTTCTTGTATTATCAGTGTCATATTTATATGATTGTGACGTACTCTCAGTCCAGTAGGACCAGCGTTTCCTTTCTCTCCGGGCTTACCAGGCTCGCCCTGAACAAAAACACAGAATCAACGTCGTAGATTTTTTTCTTTTATTAACCAAAACATTTATATTTGTTTTGCATGTCTACTCACAGAAGGTCCTTTGGGTCCAGGGAAACCAATGTTTCCAGGCTGGCCTCTTGGGCCAGTTGGGCCAGGTGGTCCAGAGCGGCCATCTTGTCCAGCAGGACCCTGTGGCAGAAAGGGAATCATAATATAGCATCAGGAAGGGGTGGAAGAAGAAATTGTTTTATAAACAGAGTAAAGCTTAGGTCTACTCACAGAAGGTCCCTCTTTTCCTGGGGGTCCGGAACTTCCAGGGCTTCCTGGGAGACCCTGAGAACCAGATCAGCTGTTACATCTAAATGTCCCTCTGATCCAACCAGAACTTTCTAATGGTTCATTTACTGCAAGTCTACTCTGGTTTTCACACATTCAGCAAAGTACTCACTCTGAGACCAGCTGGGCCATTCTCACCAACACGACCAGCATCTCCAGGGGGTCCACGAGGTCCAGCGTTACCAGTAGCACCACGAGCACCAGGCATACCCTTTTCAGAAGGAAAGAAGTAGAATATTAAAGCCAAATAAAACCAACCACTTGACTAAATGTAGTTTTTTTTAGATGTTTTTACTCACAATGGGTCCAGTACGTCCATCAGAGCCAGGCAGGCCACGGCTTCCAGGAGTGCCCTAAAGGAGACATGCTAGACGTAAAATCTGATGTTAAAGCTGTTGTGGAGATAAACTCCAATGGTGAGGGACTCACTCTTGCTCCACGGCTGCCAGCAGGTCCAGATGCACCAATCTCACCAGTGGGTCCTCTCTTGCCCTCCTCACCTTGCTGTCCAGGGGGTCCTTGAGGTCCAGAATTACCCTGAGGAAGGCCACAAAGAAGTTTACCTTCATAAACTGTCGATGAAGGCTTTTGTGCCTATTTTGTGAAAATAAGCTTTAAGTTAAACTCACAGGCTCTCCTTTGGGACCAGTGTCTCCCTTGACTCCCTGGGGTCCAGGATCACCCTAAAACACAGAGGAGCAGAATCTCTAAATGATTTGAATAAAAGGTAAAAACTGGAGAAAACTCTGGTCAGAACCCATACTTTATTCTCCATTAGATCTCTTCTATAACACTACAGTAAAGCCTCTATGATTGTTGATGAGAAGATAAAACAACTGTGTGTTTTTATCCGTGAAAAATTCAGCCAGAAATCAGCAATGGGCTCAAACTCTAGATGGTTTGGTGCTTCTGTGCATGAAAGCCAAATAAATGAGAAGATGTTTTGCACTATCCATCCACCTTAAATATATTCTCTGCTCATTTTGGGTCCATGGTTACTCACAGAAAGGCCTCTTGGTCCAGCAGCACCCTGAGGTCCCTGGGGTCCAGGTCCTCCTCTTGGTCCAGGGAAGCCAGGAGCTCCAGCAGGACCAGGGGTTCCCTTAAGCACAGCAACTTGTTAAAAACTCTCATCTTCTTAAATGTAAAGCTATGAAACTCTCTCTCTGTGTGTGTGTGTGTGTGTGGTCTGATTTAGAATAGATGTAGATTGATTTGTGGTTGTGGAGAAACTTACAGCAGCTCCCTTGGCTCCGTTCAGGCCATTAGCTCCAGGGTTGCCCTGCAGAGAGAGCACAAGGCATTAGAGTCCAGATGTATATAAATATATGTATATAGGTCATGTTTGACCAACTAGATTCAAAACAGGTTCACAAAAATCTAATCTGTTTAAAAATATTATTGTATTTGATGTAATTTGTATTCTTGTGTTAAACACAAGGCCGGTGTTCCGTCTACTTTTTGTTATAAACACACATTTATTATTTTCTAATGCAAAGATTCATGTGAAATTAGGACAAAACCAAGCTATTTCACCCAAACCGAGTTAACGTCATCTGTATTCTCTTACAGCGGGGCCAACTGGGCCAACGGCACCATTGGGTCCAGGCTCTCCTCTTGGTCCCTGGGGTCCAGATGGGCCAGTGGATCCAGCAGGTCCAATTTCTCCCTGTTTGACAACATAAGGGCGCCGACAGTCAGTGTTTCTGCGTCACATGATGTTTACTGGTGTCAACTGTGTCAAACACTAATAAAAATATCTAGATGTACAAATGTTCAGGAGGATTATTATTGTTTAAAGTCAAAGCTGAATGAATCTTCCTTCTGTCTGTTACTGAATATTCGAAGATCTCTGGAGTCTGGAGGTGTACGAAACATGAAGTGACTTCAAACCCACCTTGGGTCCAGGACCGCCGGGGAAGCCTGGGGGACCAGCAGCACCCAAAGGACCCTGGTCAGCAGAGATTTATGCTTTTAGAAAGTCCAACGTGCAAACAGATGATGCATTTAAGTGATGTACGTCTTTTAGACGGAGCAGTGGTGAAGAGGTTTACTTACAGCTGGGCCGGCGGGTCCAACGTTGCCATCAGCACCACGAGCACCAGTGGGACCAGCAGGGCCGGGGCGACCTCTCTCACCAGCCTGACCACGTTGACCCTGAAGACAAGACAGGCACCTTCAGTGTCAGCTGCTGAGTTCACATCACAAAACAAACCATTAAAGGCAGATATCTGAGCCACTGATAAAAAACTTACAGCCAATCCAGGGCTTCCAGCAGCTCCGTGGGCACCGTTCTCTCCCTATGAGAGAGACAGAGGGTTCATCTATGGATCACATCCTAACAGAAAAACTAGAAAATCACGCATAAAAGCAGCATCTTTATTTACTTTGGCACCAGCAGCACCAGGTTCTCCCTTGCGTCCATCCAGACCAGTGTAACCCTAAAACACAGAAGGTCAGAGGTCAGCCTCAGGTGGAGAAATAGAAGAGATGGATCCATGTTCCTGAAGACAATCCGAGGTTTCAAGGGAGGAGGCGCTCTGAGGATAGTTCTCTGCTGTTTTAGGAAAGTTTAACATCCAGCAGTGGAGCTACAGTTCCCTTCATGTTAATCATCCGGCTAACAACACGACAGAAGCCCAGCTGGGCCTGTTCCTCAAGTCAGCTCTTCCTTGATCCAAGACATTATAATCCAGAAGAGGAAGTGTGAGGTTTAGGAGTAAAAAAGCAGGACTAACTCTGTGTCCTTTCATTCCTGGAAGTCCTGGGGTTCCGGGGAATCCACGAGCTCCCTGCAAACCAAAGGTGGGATCAGAACATGTTTCCAGCAAACAGAGGCGGTGAATCATGTTCCAGGTGTTAGTCCTACCTGAGTGCCGGGGGTACCTCTGTCTCCGGGTTTTCCAGGTCTGCCGTTGTTACCCTGTAGCAGAAGAGAAACCATGACTTCAGGTTCAACAAACACTAAACTACAGCAGCAGCTGAAAGACAACGAGGACAGAAGCAGCTCAAATACAAACGCACATCTTCTCCAGACTTGCCAGGAGGTCCAGGGGGTCCACGAGGTCCAACAGCGCCCTGGAAAGCAGAAACACGGCGGTCAGACAGATCAGAACAGGGTACTAAAGCATTTTCCATGTGGTATACTTACAGCCTGACCGGGCTCTCCAGGCTCACCGGCGTGTCCAGTGTGTCCCTGAGGTCCCTGTTTAATGACAGTAGGTCAGTAGTGAGCTGTGATGTGATGACATTTAGACAGATCCTCATGTGAGGTAGAGTTTAGAAGGTTTCTGCTCTTACAGGGGGTCCAGGGGGTCCAGGGGGGCCTCTGGGTCCCATCAAACCCTGATGAGGAGAAAAAGGTCACAGTCGATTATTACTTCTCTTCTGCTAAAATCATGTGAAAGTAAAAAAACAAAACAAAACTCAAACTAGTTAAAAATGAAGCTGTGGCTCCTCACCATGGGTCCAGGGCCGGGATCAGAGGACTTTGAACCATCATACTGAGCAGCAAAGTTCTGTTGGACAGAACAACAATCAAATCAGCCCCTGAAACGCATCAAAACCTTCAGGTTTTATACACCAGTAGGTGCCAGTGAACCAACATGTGTCCAAAAGGTCCTGAAGGACAAAACGTAGAAGGTCTAGATGTGTGTTTTGCTGATTTTCTACAGAAACTCTGCAGAAAACCAGAAGTTGGTCAAACTTAGACCCATTCTTTTGTCAGATTCACGAGTGTTCTGGCATCTTAGAGCCAATTTGGCACATTAAATATTTTTAGAGTCCACACGACTGTTTGGCACACAAACAAAGACGTACTCCTCCGAGTCCAGGGGGGCCAGGGGGGCCAGGGGGGCCGGGGAGTCCGGGTTTACCATCTTTTCCATTTGGGCCGGGAAAACCCTGGAAAAACACAAGAGAACCCAACGGTTTAAAAATCCTAGAAATCAGCTTTCAGATTTCTCATTTTACAGATCAAGGCCGGTTATAATAATGTGTTGTGTGTGTTGGCGTTATGGAAGTGCTATGGCAGGTAAACAAAGGGGTGTGGCCTACTGAGAGGTTAATAGGTCAGGAACAGCCTCTGTGTCGAATCAGTTTTATCAAAAACAGTTTTTCCACACGTGTGTCTTAAAGGAGCTTACCCTGTCACCTCGAGGTCCTTTGTCTCCTCGGGGACCCTGCGGCGCAGAAACACTCAGTCAGATCACTCAGTTGGCTAACGCCACTTCTTACATCATATGTGGCTGAATTCCAGCAAAAAAAGCTGAGATTCACTAATTAGACCTGATCGAATCAAACTAAACATCTCATGTAAACACGTCTTTCCAGGAACGATAAGCTAATGCTACAGGTGGATTTCTGTGCAAACACACAGCAGACCAGCCTTCTAGGCTGATGTGGAACTAACCCGAGTCGTCATGTTGCTTCCTTTTGTTGTGAATACATCTAATTATTAGACTTCATTATAATAAAACTCTACATGCAGGTAGTCCCTTACAGCAGCACCGAGTATAGAGATGTGACCTTCCTAACAAGGCCCACCAGAGCTAAAGGCTTACAGCATCAACTCTGCACAAAAAGCTCAGAAGCAACAAAACAGAGATGTTGTCTAATCAGACTCAGTGCTGCTGAAACCTCAAATAAAACTCCAAACTTCAGTCAGAGCCATCGAGAGGTACTCAAGCTTTCTTTTAGCTGATGCTTTTAACCTGATCTGAGATCAGGCTCTGTAGTCTCCAGGTCTGTCTAAACAGAGGAGCAGGAGCTGACCCAAGGCCAGTCGTCATTTCAATTCAATTCAATTCATTTCAGTTTAATTCAATTCAATTCAATTCAATTCAATTCAATTCAATTCAATTTAATTCAATTCAATTCAATTCAATTTAATTCAATTTAATTCAGTTCAATTCAATTCAAAAATACTTTATTAATCCCAGAGGGAAATTGATTATTTCAGGGATAAACCTCCATCTGCTCCCTTCTCTGCTGTCCACAGAAAGGATCCTTTGTGCCAGGCTCCGCGGGCGCCTCAGCTCCGAGGTTTTACCTTTCACTCACAGGATCTTTAGCCAATAGGACCCTCACCTATGTGTGGACAGGAGGGTAAAAGATCTGCAGCGACTAGCTCCTCGTGACTGAAACGCTCTGACAGCTCAGACTGATCAGCAGTGACCCAACAGGGAGCAACCACAGGTTTGGAAAACTGGACAAGGTAAGGCTAGCTTTAAGATATCTTGTTGTCATGGTAACGTGCATGTTTACTAACCGATGCTGCAGCATTGTAGGGAGATGTAGGGATGATGATGATGATGAGGAAGAGGAGGAGGTGGAGACAGAGAGCAGGGAGAGAAAAGGAGTAATCCGTTAGAACATTTGAAAATAAATCTAGAAGCAAAATCATTTCCATCCAACCGTCAGTTTAAAATAATGTTTTTATCAGCTGATGAAAAGTAAAAAGCGTTCAGCAGAGCAGAGATTATAATCTGATATAATGTGAACCCTATAGGAACTGAAAGCACAGTGCTGAAAATAACCTGCAGGGATTTTACGTGTCGTGGTTAGGTTCTTTATCCATTGCTGGATTAAAATCCTCAGAGTGTGGGACGTTTCCACACTCTAAAGATGTTAGATTGGTTTCCTGTCAGGCTAAAACACATAAAAGGCTCCAAATCTTGTCTGAGTACAACAAGTCTTGGCACTGCTTTGATAATAGCTGGAGGCCACAAACACGGGGAATTACTGAGACGGTCTAACTCTGATGTTCGGATCTGGAGGCAGCAGCATTCCTGATACCCAGCCTGTTGACAGGCCTGGGCTGGCAGTCTGAGCCTCTGGGACAGGAATGGTTTCCTGTCCCAGAGAGAAGCAGCCACTGATCTTTATACAGCTTTTGTCTTTTAATATTTGAGAATCCTCGCTTTAAAGGAACGTTTTAGTCCAGTTGAAGGAATCTTGTCTCATCATCTTATTCCTGTTAAATCACAGGTGAACATGAGCTCTCCTGGAGGATTCTGGACCATCTGCACTTGGCTGGGACCTCCTCACGAACTTTGGCTCGCTGGGTCCATTTTCATCCACAAGGTGGCACACTTCTGTAAAATTATTATTATTTTTTATCATTATAGTCTAAAAAGAAAAATAAATCTAACCTAAATTTAAATGTATGTTATTTAATGTTATCTTTCTGATTCAAAGGATGCATTTTCAGTTACAGCAACAAAAAATAAACAAACAACTAATTTATCTCATTTTAATTAAAAATTCGTTTTAAAATTATGTTTCATCTAATTTGTGTTAAATGTCCTTCATATGTATTAAACAAATTAAAACAATGAGGATAATCACGTTGGTGCCAAGTGGGTGTTTCCCTTCTGGCCACCAGGGGGAGACATTGCAGCTTAAAAGCTCAGCCCCTTAAACATCTGGATGGAACAATGAGTACAACGCCCCACAAAGGTTTCCATCCATTATATATTAAAAAAGAAAAAAAAAACTTAACGTGCGTTTAAAATTATAAAGGTCACTCCAGGCCTACAACTCAAACTAAATCACTTTTTGCCTTATTCATCCTTCCTATTTCTGTTATCATAAATGTATCCTTGGGGAGGAAAAGTGGAAAAAAGAAGTGAAGAATCCTGTAGTGTGAGCTGAGTCCGTAGAGTTTTAAACAAGTCTTCAGGTAAGTCCCAAACAAAAAGCCAAGCGAAAGATCCTGAAGCAGTTTGGACCCGAAAGCAAAATCCAGACCTCAGAGAAAGTAGACATTCAGACTTACACTGACATGATGCTAGGTATGAAGTTACTGCAAGCAGCAACAGAATCCGGGTATCCACAAAGCTGAGCATGTCTAAACAGACATGCAGACTCCTTGTGCCGCTGAGCCCCTGTGTTTAAACCACCTTCAAGCAGGCATACAGTTGTGGTGACGAGAGTAACTCCAAACTTAGCAGAAACCTGCTGCCGTGATGCTAGAATAATAAAGTCCCATCAGGCCTATTTATACGGCAGGAGGTGTCCCCGGTCTGCGTGTCAAAAGTCAGCCCGGCAGCCAATCAGAGAGGAGAAACCCAATCTGACTCCCATCCCTCCGCAGCTCAGAGGAGTCATGTGGTCCCGCATCTCCCTGCCTTCTTTCCACCAGAACGTTTTTGGCAAAGCTTTGGCGATGATGACGAGTGCAGCGATTTAATTAGATCCATTCTTTTGTGGACGTGGACAGCGTCGACGTTTATAAGACGGATGAAGGCCTACCTCCTGTCCTCCACTCACGGACTGTCTCTGCGCCTGCTCACCAAAAGCTGCCTTCTATTTTGTGCGTAAAATGCGCCCATTTGGAGTCGGTGCACACCAGTGGACATCCTTACGCACCAAGATGTTTTTTTCTACATTTGTCTATTTTATGCTGGACTTAAGAGAAGTTGTAGCTAAAGTAGAGCTATTTAAGCTGTGTTACTTATTCCCGTTGCGCTATTAAAGAGGCGCACTATGCGCACTTTTTACGCACGGATTTTCCTTAGAAATCTGAAGCCAGAGCCCCAGTTTTGCCTTTCCATTAAAACTACTTTTGGAAACAGTTCTTTAATTTAATGTACTCGTGCTGCTAAAGTGATTTCGTGTTTTATTCTTGCAGAACACAAGCACTTTCTCATCCATTGAAACAAACCAGATTTATCTGAATGTATTATAATCAGGCAGTCAAAGGAATTAACACACACACAATACTGGGAGAGTTTCAGACTGTCAGGAGGCAGGTGGGAGAGGAGCTCTAGTTTATCCCTCTCTCTGAGCAGCTCCTACTTGCCCACATGACCAGACATGTCATCCCCACCACTTTACTCCTGCAGCATTTAACATGGGCCTCATATTTCCTTCTATCACCCACTTTGTTCACTTCTGTAGTAAATCGCAACCCAGAAGCACAGACACACTTGTGTTCATGAATATAAGCAAAAAAAAAAAAAATAATAATAAAATAAAATAAAATATAAAACTCTTTCTGTGTCACAGCTGGTTGTAAAACCCAGAATCAGGCCACTGCACGTCTGTCTTACTTTGCATAGGCCTTGTTTTCCTCCTACCATCAAGAAACCTTTTGCATTAATATTAAGAAGGAAGCTGATGTTTTTCACCTCTGAGTCAAACCAGAGAGATCTGACCAAGAGAAAAGTGGAGAGGAGGTGGAGCATGCAAGATGAAATGTGTTCAGGAGATGGCAGAGCTCCGAGCCGCATGCAGAGCTACGTTCCTGAGTTTTCTGAGGAGCTGGAGAAGATCAGACAGGAGGGAATCAAAGATGGCTGAAAAGCTCCACATCATCAGCCTTTTTCTCTCTTTTCGAACAGAGTCAGAGAGAAACGATCATCAGAACCTCCTCATTGTTTGGCTAGAGGCAGAAATAATGGAGTTCATTTTAACAGTTTCATAAGTGTCTCTGAGAGTTTGGATTCTCATCCTTCTGAGAGAAGACGCTAAAGAAACTGCACCAATGCCCACTTTAATGCTGTAAACAGAAATAAGCTCTGATGTTTAAATCTTATGTCTAAAAGAGATGCACTTGACAAATGATTGATGTGTAGAAACTATTTAATTTAACATCTTCAATTGACCTGAAGTTTCAGCCAGCTGATTCTGAATCCAGACTCCCGGGTACTTCACCTGTAGCTTCAGCTGCTGCGTTTCACCGAGGTGGGATCTGATGATCAGGAGCTTCTTCTTCTGTCAACCAGCCAATGAGAAATAACAACAAGCATCTATGGAGCAAAACCAAATCCTAACGCCAGATATAATTATCTAATTCTTTATAATCAGGAGAGAGAGAAAGAGAGAGGTGTAGATGAAGATAGAGAGAGAGAGAGAGAGAGAGAGAGAGAGAGAGAGAGAGAGAGAGAGAGAGAGAGAGAGAGAGAGAGAGAGAGAGAGAGATGTTTTATCTTGCCATGGTGGTTTTGAATCAGATAAAATAAAGGGTGGAAACATCAGATTAAACTGGAACACAGAGGAGATTATTCTAAACCCTGTTAAAGAAAATTAGGGATTAAGGTTAGACTGAAATGAGCTGAACTGGACCAAAGGTTCAGACTCTCTCCTATAATCCAGCAGGCTGTGATTAAACTGGGAAGTGCATGTAAACACTCTGGTAGACAGGCAGGGGTGGATCAGGTTTCCAGTTAAGTCGAGTCAGTGGAGTCGGGCTCAGAGACGAGGACTCTCCATCAGGAGGCTGGAAACCCAAAACAGTCGTTTAGTCCCTGATAAATAATAGCTGGTTAGCTCTCATTCATTCACGTAGAGAACAGGGGATTTTGCCATCACTCTCTCTCTCTCTCTCTCTCTCTCTCTCTCTCTCTCTCTCTCTCTCTCTCTCTCTCTCTCTCTCTCACACACACACACACACACACACACACACACATGCACACGCATGTGTGCATCGCTGAATGAAAGCATGAATTTAAAGGTAGAACTGAAACTACTGGGATGCTGATGCAGCTGCTCCCTGACACGATCCGAGACGTGACAAAAAGTCCACATTTAGATGAACAAAGATGTAAACTAATGTTAGACAGCTGTCTGTTGTCATCATAGTTACCATGGTGACGACAGACCTGTGTCTCCCTCTCTCCCCGACAGGGGGGTTGTAGAATTCTGGAAGGCGCTGTACAAATACAGGCCATTTACCATAAATGAATGCCTTGTGAGTCGTTCTTCATGGGGGGGAAAGCTCTGGCGCTGCTGTTTCAGGAAGTAGAAGTTAGTTGGTGGAAAATGTCAGGATAATTAGTTTTACTCATTAATATTCAGGAAATGAAAACACTTTCCCTGATTGGCTGACAGCAACGTGACTCTACCACTGACTCTGCTCTGCAACGTTTATGTTTTGTCTCCACAAATAACACAAGCCTGGAGGAGTTATGATGCGTGGTGGAGTTGCTGATGCTAGCAGTTAGCTTCTACTAGCTGAGACTTTCACTGCTGTTTTATAAATGCTAAACCAACCCCTGACACTGAATCCTTTCCCCTTTGTGAGTCAAGATGGGCGAGTCCATGAATGTTAATCGAAAGTGTGACGTAGATCTGTCAGATTTTTCTAATCCTAGATCTATTTTAAATTTTTATTCTATCAGAAGCTAATGCAGGAGATAGATGTAGGAGACTATTTTCTTGTTCAGCCTGCATGAAAAACTCAGGGTGACTGAACACATTTAACACATAACAAGTAAAAACGATTTCTCAGTGAACTTGGTCTTTAAACTAAGTGCTTTGATTTGCATGATTATTAGATTTTGTTTGTTTTGTAGCAATTTTCACCAGGCTGTGGGCCAGCCAGGTAAAAGTGGCCAGCTGTCTTAAAAGTTTACAGTGTGTGTTTATAATAATAATAATAATAATAATAATAATAATAATAATAATAATAATAATAATAATAATAATAACAATAATAATAATAATAATAATAATAATAATAATAATAATAATAATAATAATAACAATAATAATAATAATAATAATAATAGTTTCTGTTGTGAGCAACTCACATTGTTATGTGAGATGGAAAAGCCAGACTGGAAGTTTACTGACTGGCCTGAGCGCATATCAACATGCCGAAGCCACGGGTTGAGTTCATCCTGGTGACTGACTGACTTAACAGCACCCAGAGCATTAAGAATCTGGGAGAAATCAGGAGCTTGGAGTGCCAATTTACTCCAAGTGTCTGTAATCATCTAACTTAGTGAAGTGTCCCCTTTCCGTCTCAGATTTCCCTCTTGCCTTTTCCTTAATGCTTGCTTTCCTTCTCCAGTGACATCTGTTGGCTGTCTCTGCAGCAATATGCATCTTGGGTGTTAAGGTGATGATCATAGAAAGAATCAGACTGATGTCAGTGGATGCAGGCAGGGAGTGTGGGATGGGGGTGAAGTATAAATATAAATCCCGTCACACAAGTGAGAAGACCAAAAATCAGAGGGAGAAAAATCATCCTGACAACATTAAAAACAGATAAAAGAAACAAGTAAATCTACAGAAACAAGGATGCCCTCTCCCTAGGTTTGAACCATGCTTCTACAGCTAAACGACTCACAGTCTGGTCAGCAAACGCATAATAAACGTGACAGAAATATCCACACACAATGTCAGCCGAGTCCATGGCAGGCAGCTAATTGCTAGATAGAGCTGAGCTGTGGTTTAAGAGTTGAAAAAACAGTTCAGCTCAAATAAAAAAAAGAAAAAAACAAGAGAATTCCATTTTTCTCTGCTGAAGTCTGACCTCCTTTAGAAAAGATGCAAAAAGGAGGTTGTGTTACCTGACAGTGTTTGGAAGGGCTGAGCTCTCCAGGAGCTTTAAATGGGACATAATATGCAGAGTTTCCTGTTGTTCTGTCACGCTGATCTCTAACGCTCCTAAAAACATTCCAAATAAGAATAAAAGCACACATTTTCTGTCAGTATTTGGTTTAAGGAATTATTTGTCTACAGTGAGCCACTTAAAAAATCCTTATTGTGACATCACAAAAAGGAAAATTGGCATTGAATCACCTTCACCTGTCATCAGAGGAGCAGCGGTTTTACTCCAAGCCCCTCCCAGATATCCAAGCTTCTCATCTAAAAGCAGCTAATCAATTCAATTCAATTCAATTCAAGTTTATTTAAATAGCGCCAAATCACGACAAGAGTCGTCTCAAGGCACTTCACATAATAAACATTCCAATTCACAGTTCATTAAGCCAATCAGAAATAATGTTTCCTATAGGAACCCAGCAAATTGCATCAAGTCACTGACTAGTGTCAGTGACTATACAGCAATCCTCATACTAAGCAAGCATAAAGCGACAGTGGAGAGGAAAACTCCCTTTTAACAGGAAGAAACCTCCAGAGAATCCTGGCTCAGTATAAGCAGCCATCCTCCACGACTCACTGGGGATCGAGAAGACAGAGCAGACACACACACACACACACACACAGACACAGACACAGACACACAGACACACAGACACACACACACACACACACACACACACACACACACACACACACACACACACACACACACACACACACACACACACACACACACACACACACACACACACGCACACACACACACACACAAGTAATGTGTCTATAGTTATATTGTGATGTCTTAGTAAATATTCTATTTGATGAAAGATAAACTTTATTGTATTTATCCTAGTGGATCTATAATTAAACAGATAAACTAGTATTAGCACATCAAAAGTCAATGAAAACAAAAAGTTATTATCAGGAGAGAGAGAATGTATTAGTGGTTAGCAGCAGTGTGCTAGTTGATGGCCCCCTCCATGAGGCCACCACAGCTCAGCAGAACGTCATTGTAGCTTCTTCTGGGGAGAAAAACACTTAGAGAGAAAATAAAGTTAACAGCTGAAATTGCACAAAATAGTACAGTTAAAGAGCAGACTGTAGAAGAAAGCAGTAGAGTGTGAAAAGTGGTCAGTGTATCCTCCAGCAGTCTAAGCCTATAGCAGCATAACTACAGAGTTAACTCTGGATAATCTATCCTATTTAGATGGAGGCATGTTGGAGGCAGGGCAAGGGAGATCCGTCTTTACCGACTGTACCCTCCACCTCCCTCTACCCCCCCACTTGTCCAGATCTAGGCTAACATCAGATTTTAACCATAGGCCCTATCAAATAAAAATGTTTTAAGCCTATTCTTAAATGTAGACAAAGTGTCTGCCTCACGGACTAAAGCTGGGAGCTGGTTCCACAGGAGAGGAGCCTGATAACTAAAAGATCTGCCTCCCATCTTAAGTTTAGATATTCTTGGAACCACCAGTAGACCTGCAGTCTGAGAGCGAAGTGCTCGGTTAGGAACATATGGAACAATCAGATTACTGATGTATGATGGAGCTTGATTATTAAGAGCTTTATATGTGAGAAGAAGGATCTTAAAATCTATTCTGAATTTAACAGGTAGCCAATGTAGGGAAGCTAAGACAGGAGAGATATGATCTCTCTTTTTAATTCTCATCAGAACTCTAGCTGCAGCATTTTGGACAAGCTGAAGACTTTTAACTACATTCTGTGGACTCCCTGAGAGTAATGAATTACAGTAATTCAGTCTTGATGTAATAAATGCATGAACTAGTTTTTCAGCATCACTCCTGGAAAGGATGCTTCTAATCTTAGCAATATTCCGAAGATGGAAAAAGGAAATCCGACAAACTTGTGAAACCTGGGATTTGAATGGCATGTCCTGGTCAAAGATAACACCAAGGTTCCTTGCTTTGTTCTCGGAGATTAATGTAATGCCATTAAGGTCAGGCGATTGGCTAAGCAATTTCCTTTTCTGGATTTCTGGTCCAAAGATGAGAATGGGTGGATGTGGTCAACTATATATATTTTTGTTTAAAGTGACAGAAACCTGAGACAGCTCATTCTGGAAGGTATCAAAACCGTCAAGGATAGAGTTGTTGAGATAGCTTCATGTGAGAGCGATTTAGCGCAAAGAACTTCATAAACATGTTTTGTATCGACCACAGAGCCATTACAACTAGTTTGAAAGCAATTTAAAAAACAAGTGACACCCAAAGCAACTTTTTTTGGAGATAAACCATATAAATGAGTGTCCAATTGTTCTGTACACACGTGTAGTCAATAATTTGGAAATTCATTGCGTTTTAGTTAAAATTTCAATATTCTGCCTAAAACTGTCAATGTTGCACCGTCTTCAGGTAAAAACTCTGCACTACATTTGAATTTTAAATCTGTCATCGCTGTTGGCTAAGAGGTACTCTATGATGTTAGCTGGTACCATATGATGTCACAATACCACTGTGAGCCTGGGTGTTTCTCAATGCCAAGAAACCTTGCCTTTGACGTCTTGGTCCCGCCCCGGTTGCCTAGGAGATACATCACCAGGAACCGCAAAGGTGTGTTCCAGTTTTCATGCTCTACCGAGGTGTCTGTTCTCCATTTGTTAGCCATTTAGCTAGCTGAGCAAGGATACAGGGAGGGGCCTCGTAGCTTGGCCCTGGGAAAAATTTCCCAGAATACAGCGTGGTATTTCAAAAAGATGGCGGACCAGTAGCCTGCAGCTTTTTTGGGGGCAAATTTCCAGTTTAAATGTAAGTCAACTAATTGTAGCTATAGGGCTGATCTCTAAAATGTTTTCTTACATCCAAAGAAGTTATCTATGGTTGGTTAGTTGCTTAGTAATTACAGCTTCAGTGGCTAGCAGGTAGTAACTCACTTACATATTTCATTTCACCAATATATACACAATTTAAAAAGTAAAAGGCTCGTTACGCATTTATATAGAAACTCATCCTTATAAAATATAACGTTACCTCACGTGTCATGTGGCGTGACTGCCGCAGAAGCTGCGGTCACATGATGTAAGTCTGTTCCATTTAAGAATTTTCTTTGACCAAGGAAGGACAGTGTCCTTGTAAGAAAAGCACCTGACCTCGCAAGGTGAAGTCTTGACATTGAGAAACACCCCTTGTGTGTTTTTATGTATTTGTTAGTGGCTCCGCCCTCGTGGTCTGCCAGGCAACGCCTACTTGTCGTGCATTTTTCAAACAGGAACTGGGAGTGGAGTTCAGACTCTGGTAGGGGGTGACTTGCTCTTTCATGTTTTCCCATTAAGGAAACAAAACAAAATGTTGCTAAATCAGAATTATTTTTAATGAAAAGTTTGTCACACTTCCTGAATAAAATGCCTCAGTAGGATGTTAGCTAGAATGCTAAACTCACAGCTTGACAAGTTTCCTACGCTAACTGGAGCAAACATCCTCCATGATGATCTATAGGCTATTCTGAACACAGGTCTGACAGAGCACTAGAAATACACAGGCTCATTCTTCCCTAAGAATGCCATGGGAGTTCCTCAGGGACCGGTTGTAGAGCCACTTTTATTTAGTCTGCACATTAAAGACTTGTCCAGAACTTGTGGAGGACACATTTAGTCCATAAATGTCCTAATGTGAGTGAGACAGTTGTTTATGATTACAGTAATGTAGTAAACTTTTACACCTCTACCAGTTTTGCATTTGAAGTTATTTGCAAGCATAATAACAACAAACATCAAAAAGTGGAATCAGCCAGAAATCTATAGAATTTTCTGCCAAAATAAAAATGCTGCACGCAACTGTCAGAGGCGTTAAGACTTTAAACATGATGCTGCGTAAACCTATGAAGGTTTTTTCAGTCTTGCTGTGTTGGAAAATCTCTCTAAACAACGTTTACAGCTGATTATAGGAGGGTTTTCTCATGTCTTCCGCAGTCTGAGCTACAGGATGAGGCGTTTTTTGGTGAAAAGTGATTCCAATGGTTTTTGTTAAGATGTTGATTTTAAAACAGGAGACATGTCCTAGTAATGGAGGCCTGTGTAGACCTGATCCAGGATCAGCTGTGACCCTTGACTCTGGCTGTTCTGGTCAGCGAAGGGTTAACCAGAGCTCAGCACTGGTGAGAGGAGAGAGCTCAGAAATCTTTTCCACATTACAGCACAACACAGGGAGCACATCAAAATGAGTTCAGCTCTCTCTCTCTTTCTCTGGCTGCTTCACCACAGCTGGATGCCATTACACATCTGGAGAGCACAACTCAGGGCTCAGGATGACACACCAGAGAGAGAAGAAACAACCGGCTTTACTTTTGGATCAAAGCAGGTTTAAGAAACTGGAGTTTTTCACCATCAAATGAATATTTTCCTGCTCAAGAAGCAAAACCCCAGATGCAAAAGCATGTTTACGTTAAACACGTCAAATAGCTGTTGTTTAAACTCCTCCCAGCTCTTCATTAACTCCGCCCCTTTTGCATTTCTCTGCAGCTTTTGGATGGGTGACGACTGGCTGGACTTCCAAAAGGGAGGAAACTTTTTTCCAGGGTGGAAAGTGTTGTTTCTCCTCATTTCCAGCTCCACATACCACAATAATACTGCCTCAACTATCGCTCTGTTTCTCTTCTATTCTTCTCTGAATGCCCTGGTTGTTCTGAGGACATCTCTCAGAGGTAAACAGGATTTTCTGCACCTATGAGGTCAAAGTGTCCCCCCCCCCCCCCATCTCTTCATGCCTGACCTTAAATCTACCATGTCCTGTCAAAGGCTCTTCTAATAAATCCATGCAGTTTTTGCTCTTTCTGAAGTCGTCCCAGTTGCAGACCAGTAAACTCAGACCTGATTCTTCTGTTTCATTCATTGTTCTTAAAATCGGATCTGAAGCTTTAACGTTTCAGAGACAATCTGCGAGCCCAACTTGACTTCAGAGAGACGACCAGGAGGTAAAGCGACTCCTCCAGACCGCCTAAACGCTTTCACAGATGGGAAACGGCTGGTCCGGGAAAGCTAGGAGCATGAGGAAAAGCTTTGGCTTATTTCTCTTTTGTATCTAACAAAAACAGTAACAGCTAGAAAACCCGAGTTAGATTTACTGTCAGATCTGTAGTTTGGATACGTTTATCCTTCCTCCTGTTGTTTTTTAGAAACACCCACCTGAAACAAACATCTCCATCTGGTTTTAAACTCGTGATTTTTATTCTTCTTAGTTTTTTTTGGTCAGATCGTTGCTCCGCACCTACTTGCTCCCTTTGAAAACAAAAGTCTTTTCTCACTTCCTCATGATTTTAGCTGCTGAAACACCAACTCATATGGTCTGGTTCCTCCTCACTGCTCTGTTGATTAGACAGTAATTATCTTTAAAATGTCAACTCTAACCAATATTAACATTTTTTCACTGAATCCTTTAAAACGACGAGCTCAGGTTGAGCTTGCAACATTGTCTGCGCCCTGAACACAACCTCCACCTGTCACACAAAACACCTGGTGGCTCCAGTCACCTTCCTCGGCTCCGGATAAATTAAAGTCTTCCACGGGGATAAAAACAGGCTAGCTGTAGATCTGAGGGACTGGTAACAGCATATTCTGATCATGTTTGATCTTTATGTGCTTCTGATCTGAACTCGTTTTGTGACTGGGGGTTAAGTACTTTTTGGGGCTGCTAGCTATAGCGTGAACATACCTGGGTTTGATGCACGAATCCCATAATTCAGCTCATCACAAGAGCAGTGCAAATTATTTTCATACTCCTTAAACATGTTTCAGATCCTGAAATCCTGTATCGGTGTTTGACTGCTCTTCCTGGCAGCAGCGTTATCTTGAATCTGGCCAAGCTGCAGGAGGATGATTGCTGCAGGAAGCCAGTGAGGTCACCTCCATGAAGCAGCTCAATACTAAACCCCACCAGATAGACAGACACTGGGCATCTGAGACATTTACATAATAATAAATCACCTTGTTTTTGTTTAGCTGTTGTAATAGTTGCCCTGTAAGCTTTTTGCTACCTGCCATAGATGGCTCTTTGGTTAACAGCGGTCTGGAGAAAGAGACTTTAAATCTAACTGGACAGAATTACAACTCAAATATTTCACTGAACTTTAACTAAAACGAAACTTTCCATTTTATGAAACTCAGTATCGCATTAGTTGTGTAACCTGGGTCTGCAGCATATTTAAAAATACTTAATTACTGCAGTTTAACCTGAAATCCTAAGTTAATGACACTTGTTTCACTTTAATAGCCACATCAGAGCAGCATTCACAAAAAAAAAAAACAATTTAAATCAAGTTTCCTCCTTTGCACTAACGTTCTGTTTTCTCAGGCTCCACATCACCACTTCTCCTCCTTTTTCCTGTCTGCCTGCTGCACAGCTCGTCTGTGTCTTAATGTCAGGGTTGCTGTCCAGAGAAAACACCACATGCATCTAAACCAGTGGAGAAGAAAAAAACTAAAACCTCTGTTAGCTCAGGGAGCACTTGAGTCTCTGACACTGTGTTTGATACAGAGTGGTTCTGTCTTTAAAGGGACACCTAGTTGGACCTAAGCTGTGGTGCAAATGTTCCTGAGGGGGGTCAGATACAACAATGGGGGCGAGGGGGCATCTTCAAAAACTATCTGTGCAGCACTTTTTACATTTAAAATAATCCGAATGCTGCTAATTCATTACATGTGATAACACAAGCCGAGGTAGTGTGTGTTTGTGTGTGTGTGTGCGCGCGTGCGTGCGTGTGTGTGTGTGTGTGTGTGTGTTTAGAGAATTCTTACTATCGTTTTAGTTTCACACCAGGTCTGGCGTTCTGCTGAGCGGTGACAGCCTCCTGGAGGGGGCCCTCGGCTGGCACACTGCTACCAACCTCTAGACATTATCGTTTTACTTTCTTTAAAGTGGCCGTGTGTAGTTTCTTGCCACTAGGGGGCAGTACATAATTTCAGGATAGTTTTGGAACCATATCTCCGTGACTGTCGCTAGTTACAAAAAAACATTATGGTAAATGTTGTTACCTGTGGAGCAGGAAGCATGCGACCTTGGCGTGACTCCTCAGACTTTGATGGTCCGTCAGTTAATCTGAGAGAATGCAACGCTGATGCTAGTTTTCTGGCGCTGTAGTTCACGGACCTGCTCAAGGTCCTGCGCCTGCCAATGACGGCAATACCACTCGGCCAAAATATATTGCATCTCTTTTTTTGATTCTGTTCTTTCACACGTTTTGGAAGGAGTTTAGCAGTTTTGTTATTAAACTCCTATTTCTTACTTCCTAAATGTTTTTTAACGTGTTAACGTAACTTCTGTAAGCCCTACTTCCAGCCAATTATCTAGTGTGACGTAACTTACAGGCGCGGGACCCCGAGCCAGTCAGAAGGAAGCATGGCATTTAATATGGTGTCCCCCAAAGATGCTCAAATCTATCTACTTAGCGCTAGTTTATATGTCATAAAGCCGCCAATATTTTTCAATGACTTGGCATCGTTTTATTCATTTTCAGCAACTTTTATATGAATATTTCCAGGCATTAAAGGTAAAACTTTATCATTTTAACATAGAAAGTTTCACTACTAGTTCATCTGTTTATTGTTGTGTGTGTCTTCTCAACCCCTATGAGTCATGGCAGAAGGCTGCTCGTACTGATCCAGGTTCTGGTGGAGGTTTCTCCACAGCCGCTACATGCTTGCTTTGTAAGGGGATTTCTGTAGAGTCTCTGACACAAAGGGCAGTGAGTCCATGCAGTCTGCTGGGTTTATAGGAAACTTTTAACTAACTGGTATAGAGAAATGAGCTCAATGTAAACGAGAATTTAAATGTAATTTAATTTAAATTATGATTTACTTCAGTTAGAATGTTTACTTGGTGAAGTGACTTGAGATGACTTGTGATTTTGGGATATGCAAATAAACTGAATAACTCTAAATTCTATAGTTGTACATAAATCCCATTTTCAGCCGCAAATCCAGAGTCGGGTCGCGGGGGGCAGCAGCCTAAGCCGAGACGCCCAGACTTTCCTCTCCCCAGCTACTTGAGCCAGCTCTTCCGGGAGAATCCCAAGGCGTTCCCTGGCCAGCCGAGAGACATAGTCCCTCCAACGTGTCCTGGGTCTTCCCTTGGGTCTTCTCCCAGTTGGAAGTGCCCGGAAAACCTCACAAGAGGCATCAAGGAGGCATTCTGACCAGATGCCTGAGCCACCTCAACTGGCTCCTCTCGATGTGGAGGAGCAGCAGGTCTACTCCGAGCCCCTCCCGGCTGACCAAGCTTCTCACCCTATAAGGGAGAGCCTAGGTACCCTGCGGAGAAAGCGCATTTTGGCTGCTTTTATCCACAATCTCGTTCTTTTGGTCATTACCCAAAGCTCATGACCATAGGTGAGGGTAGGAACGTAGATCGACCGGTAAATTAAAAGCTTTGACACCCCAACAGACCGGTACGACGCCCACATCACTGCAGATGCAGCACCAATCTGTCTATCAATCTCACGCTCCATTTTTCCCTCATTTGTGAGCAAGACCCCAAGATACTTAAACTCCTCCACTTGAGGCAGGACCTGCTCCCTGACCTGGAGAAGGCATTTATTTCAATTTAAGACCATGGTCTCAGATTTAGAGGAGCTGATTCTCATCCCAGCTGCTTCTCACTCGGCTGCTAACTGCTCCAGCAAAAGCTGGAGATCACGTTGGATGAAGCCAACAGGACCGCATCATCTGCAAAAAGCAGAGACCCGATCCATAGGCCACCAAAACGGATGCCCTCCACACTTTGGCTGCACCTAGAAATCCTGTCCATAAAGGTTATGAACAGAATCTGTGACAAAGGGCAGCCTTGGCAGAGTCCAACTCTCACCGTAAATGAGCCCGACTTATTACCAGCAAGCTCTGACACCGGTCATACAGGGACCTAACAGCCCGTATCAGTGGGCCTGGTACCCAATACTCCCAGAGTACCCCCCACAGGGTTCCCCGGGGAACACGGTCGAACGCCTTCTTCAGATCCACAAAACACATGATGATTGGTTGGGCGAACTCCCACGCACCCTCCAGGACCCCCCTAAGGGTATAGAGCTGGTCCAGTGTTCCACGGCCAGGACGTAAACCACATTGTTCCTCCTGAATCTGAGGTTTCGACAATCTGACGGACCCTCCTCTCCAGAACCCCTGAATAGACCCCCCCCCCCCAAATAAAAGAGCAAAAAGTCTTGTTAATAAAATGACATTTTTAAAATTTATTTAAACATTAATAAGACCTAAATGTTTACTGTGCATGCTTTGTAATTTAATACGTTTTTGTTTTTACATCATATCCTTCATAATTATTGTTTCATTGACAAAAGCTGTTTTAATTGAAGAAAGAAAATTAATTAAAAAATAAAGCGTGTACCCTTTACTTTTTAACTAATTTTCTTATGAAGAGTGCTAATGTCGCATGTGCAGATAAAAAAAATCTGTCTGAATGAAATGAAGTCTGAACAGTTTGTTGTGTGCAGCGTTGGGACTTCCTGCATCACAGGAACTATTAAAAATACAGAAACTGTGAGAAATTAAGGAACACAGCAAAGTGTAAAATGCAAATAGCTCATTTTTTATTTAGGCGGAAGATAAGATAGCAGCACAGGAATTAGACTACAACAAACCAAGCAATGAAAATTGAGATCATTCACATACGTGTCATGTGAAAAAATATCTGTCAGCCGTAAACACATTTGTTCTCCATTAGTATAATCTGTGATGAACACCTGTGCTTCTAGGTGACACTTCATTTGTCAGAGCAATAAGTTACTTCATTAGTAGCCTTACATATGTGGCTTACCACCCAGCTGAGTCCCT